CAACGGAATCGCCGGCTCCCCCGGCAAGCGTGGACAGCCTGGAATTCCCGGAATCTCTGGTAAGAGTTTCCGAACCCAAAACTTAATTCTTCATTCAGCATCCAATTTTGCGTTTCGTTTCTTTTGCAGGCACGAAGGGAGATAAGGGAGCTCGTGGCTTGACTGGAAATGACGGACAAATGGGTGGCCGAGGACCTCCAGGACCACCTGGCCTGCTGGGTGTCAAAGGTGAGCCCGGACTTCTCGGGGCCCCGGGACAGAGAGGATTGGACGGCTTGAATGGTGAAAAGGGTAACCAAGGTCTGCCCGGCTATGACGGACCGCAGGGTCTGCCTGGAGATGCTTCCGAGAAGGGTCAGAAGGGTGAAGCCGGTCTGTCTGGACTGCGTGGTGATACTGGAGTGCCCGGTGAGCCCGGACAGCCTGGCGAAAAGGGATTGCCCGGTTTGGCTGTGTACGGACGACCCGGTCCCCAAGGAGAAAAGGGTGACACTGGTCGTGGTGGCGCAGACGGCATTCCTGGAATGAATGGAGAAAAGGGTGACATTGGCTTGGATGGCTTATCTGGAAGGAATGGCGAAAAGGGATCCGTCGGGCTCCCTGGCCTTCCCGGCGCTCCCGGAATTGATGGGCAGCCTGGACTACAGGGTGCTCCTGGACCGGTCGGTTATCCCGGCGCGCAGGGATACAAGGGACAGGCTGGCCTGAACGGTCTGCCCGGTCTCAAGGGTGACACTGGCCCCGTTGGTCCTCTGGGCTACATTGGAAGTCCTGGCATCAAGGGCGAGAGGGGGCCACGTGGTCAGCCTGGTCTGCCCGCTATCGTCAATGTCGATATGCTGCGAGGCGAGAAAGGCTCTTTGGGAGAGCGCGGCCTGACTGGAGAAAAGGGAGATCAGGGAGAGAGAGGAGAGCAGGGCCGGGAGGGGTATCCAGGAGTGAAGGGAGACCAGGGTCTGGAGGGTCCCCGTGGCTTGAATGGACTGAACGGAGCCCCCGGACTCAAGGGAGATGCGGGTCCTCTGGGTGAGCCTGGCTACCCTGGGCCTGTTATCAAGGGAGAGAAGGGTCTGCCTGGACGCGCCGGAAAGTACGGACGTGAAGGTGAGTTCTCCCGAGCGATTGTTCGAATCGTATCACAACTAACCCATAATCATTTTGTCATAGGCCTTCCCGGAGCACCTGGAATCAAGGGAGAGCGCGGTTTACCTGGTCTGTCCGGTACCCCCGGCCTAGTCGGTATGCCCGGACCCGTTGGATCTCCAGGTGAAAAGGGAGATCGCGGTCTGGCCGGTACACCTGGTCAGTCCGGACTTGACGGATTGAGGGGAGCTCCAGGTCTCAAGGGCGACCAAGGCTATCCCGGACCGAAGGGAGAACGTGGATTGAATGGCTTCGAAGGACAGAAGGGTGATAAGGGTGACCAAGGACACGCTGGCCTGCCCGGTCTGGCTGGATTAGCTGGGGCCAAGGGCGACTCTGGATACCCCGGCCAAGACGGACCAGAGGGACCGCAGGGCAGCCCAGGTGAGAAGGGCTTCACCGGACCCAAGGGACGCGACGGCCGCGACGGCAGTTCAGGTCTGCAAGGACAAAAGGGTGAACCCGGCATGATACCGCCGCCGGGACCCAAGGGCGAACCTGGCAAGCCTGGACGTGAGGGCCAAAAGGGCGACGCCGGCCAGCCCGGTGACCGTGGCCTGACCGGAATCGAAGGACAGCGCGGAGAGAAGGGCGATCGTGGTCTCATTGGTCCAAGCGGATCTATCGGACGTCCCGGACCCAAGGGCGAACGTGGTGAGCAGGGTCTAGTTGGACGCGAGGGTGCTGTCGGCGCCATGGGTCTGAAGGGTGACGCAGGTCTGGCCTGTAGTGGCGCCCAAGACTACCTTACCGGCATCCTTGTGACGCGCCACAGTCAAAACGATCAGGTGCCACAATGCGCGGCAGGTCACTCGCAGCTCTGGACCGGCTACTCTCTACTGTACGTGGACGGCAATGACTATGCCCACAACCAAGATCTCGGCTCGCCGGGCTCCTGTGTCCAGCGCTTCTCCACTCTGCCGGTGCTGTCCTGCGGACAGAACAACATCTGCAACTACGCGTCGCGCAACGACAAGACCTTCTGGCTATCGACATCGGCCCCCATTCCCATGATGCCGGTGGAGAACTACGAGATTAGCAAGTACATCTCGCGCTGTGTGGTCTGCGAGGCGCCTGCCAACGTCATCGCGATGCACAGTCAGTCCCTAGAAATACCCGAATGCCCATCAGGATGGGAGGGTCTCTGGATTGGCTACAGTTTCCTCATGGTGAGTACTCAGCCCGGTCTGAAGCGGAATCGAAAGCTTGATTTCACATAATTTCAATTTCCCCCACAGCACACGGCAGTGGGCAATGGAGGCGGTGGCCAGGCGCTGCAATCGCCTGGCTCCTGCCTAGAGGACTTCCGTGCAACACCGTTCATCGAGTGCAACGGCGCCAAGGGCACCTGCCACTTCTACGAGACAATGACCAGCTTCTGGATGGTCACTCTGGAGTCCAACGACCAGTTCGAGAAGCCCCAGCAGCAGACGATCAAGTCTGGCAACCTGCTGTCCCGCGTCTCCAGGTGTCAAGTCTGTATGAAGAACTCGTTGTAGGCCGTCGCGGGGCCCTGCCCCACTTGCCTCCACACAGACACAAGCACAGCATAAGTTTAATCTAATGTTAAAGCCCCTAAATATACCAACGAACAGTGTTCACACCACACACAGAACAGGAGACACACTCACAGACGAACCAACACTGCTACCAATTCCTTAAACTAACCAAATCGAAGCGCCAGGCCCCCCGTCTTAGTGCTAAAACGGACCTGGACCAAATGCCATTTTTGTATCTGCCATTTAATGTTCTAAACAAATGTAAACTGCTTCTTAGTTACGTGTAATTTAAGTAAATCAAACAAATAAATAAACTAGCCTCGGTCGTATGTCCAAACCCACTGATTACACCTACACCTCCATGTAGAGAGGAGAGTGCTGCATGTTCCATTTTGATTAAATGCGAAACAATGCATGGTTAGGTGCACAATGATGTGGACAATGAGAACATATCGAACGGTTGACATGACATAGACCTCCTCCACTACACACACAATATGCTATACAAAACTGCTATTTTTTTCGCAAATCGTTTATGTTTATGAAACAAAAAAAATGGTAAAATAAAGAAAATTTATAAATACGATTTACAAATTGTATACGAATTTTAAACGAGTACCCTACCGTGGTGGGGTACTTGCGTTTTGGTACACAGTAGTGTGAGGTTAGCCTATCTATTCGAGCAGGCATAATCTGAACATCTTTCGTATTTCTAAGTAACCTAATTCATCAGTTATATTGCCATTTCACTTTTAAGTTAACCAAACGTTAACAGTTTTAGCCCGGACAATATAAAAATCTGGATTATATTTTATTCCACAGCTTTACTGCCATAAGTGGAGATAATTCGGATAACAGAAATCATTGAAAATGCTTATTAAGAATTTGCTAGAAGAATAAATAATTTGAAATTAAAAGAAAAAGAAAAATAGCAAAGCCTCAGTGTTGATTGAAAGAGATTTTCCCCATTTCCAAAATCTTTCTTAATCCCTGAATATCATTATAAATGTTTGGGGATGGTTGGCACATCAAGTATATTGATCAGGCCAACAATTCCAACATTAGTTATTTTTATGCACCCCTTCCAAAACGGATGTGACAGGTTTTGTTGCAGAAACTATTCTATTTTTTTTTTTATGTCTGATACATTCCAATTAGCTTATGTTTAAGTTTGTTTTTTACATCATTCGAACTGTATATAATATTTTGTTTGTTAAAGTCAAGTGGATCTAAATTATGACCCCGAATTAAAATTATTGACTTTAATTTGTAAAATATACAAAGTCTCTAACGTATACAAAGTCTCTTCTGCGCAGTGGCTGATAGAAAACTGAATTAATGGGGGTGTCCTATTCAAGTGACGAGGAGTGTATGTATGTGTATGATTTCATCATTCATTGAAGCAAATGAATGCGATATAAAACATGGTAGCACTTCCTTTATTATAATAAGCTTCAAATGTTACTCATAAAATCCGCCAATATAATCAATCAAGGAGTGAAGAGAAAGGATATTAAGATACAATTATTAATCTGATGCTGACCCTACTGGTACCGGAACAGATACAAAATGTATCTCAATTATTTTCTATTCTTTCTATGATTAGATCCTTTCCGTTCTTTATGTTCTTTTTTTATACCAGGCAGACTGGTACTGCCGGTGTATGTATATTACATATATTCGTCTGTCCATATGGTGTCAGGCCATTTGTTTCTACATAAAGTTAACTCTACGAAACTTTGCACCTAGCTATAAGCTATAAAGCTATAAATTTAATTTTATGTTTTGCCGAACTTCAAGGATATATAAAGAACTTCAGATTCTAGACTTGTTTAATTTTTTTTCATTTATTCGTTTTTGGAATCTTCAATAAATCAAAGCATCAAAGAATCTATGGGGTTTCAGATATGCATCTGTAATTTCCAGTTTCAAAGCAAGTCTTTTTTGTACGTTTATTTGTTTATGTGATTTAACACGGTGGTGCAGATCTTCTTTTAAAGAACAAGGGTTCAGACGGTCTAGGTCTTGTGGTGGAAATGATTTTTCCTCTGAAAGCAAACCCAGGGAGAGGAGAGCAATCTGAATCTCACCACTTGCCGCCTCCAGAAGCAAGGCACTTGTGCGCATGCCTCATGCCTCTAGCAGAGAGCCCGAACGCGGGGGGTTTTGGGTAGCTGTGGGTTGAGTGGGGTCGGATGGGGGTGGAGGGTTGCGAAGCGTCAGAGGGGTGGCATACGATACCATATGATAATGATATGCAGACACACATATTCCAATTGGTGGTTGGACGAGTTTCCTTCCAGCTGTGGCCGTACGAAAATAGGGGTAGGCTTTCTGGGTTCGAATTGGAAAAGTGAACGGCACACATCAGTCGTCGGTGGGAGTTCGAATACATACGTCAGCAGATAAGACGTGCTCAGTCGCTGGAGTGGGACTGAAAAATGTATACCCAAGTGGAAAAACTGGAGAAGAAGTAAGGAAAAATGTAATCCATTGCAAGCTTTGCAAGAACACTGAGAAACCCCAAAAGAGGAAGGTGCCAGTGCCAGTGGCAGTACCAGTACCAGTGCCAGTGCCAGCCGGAAGCCCCGAACAAAGGCAGACCAGACCCACTTACAGCACAAGTGAGTGGAACCCAGTGGAACCAGCGGCAGCAACCCCCAAAACAGACAACAACCCACCAACCCCAACCACAACCACAACCCCCTATATGATTATCGTACTGTTGTTGCTGTTCCAATCGCTCTGCCTCTACTGCCAACGTCTGGTGCTGCACATCCACGACCGATGTTTCCCCCGCAACGTACGCCTCTTGCAGGAGGTGGCCGAAACGGTCGGCGATCGTAAAGCACAACAGCATCTAGAGCAGCAGCAGCTGGAGCAGACCAAGCGCCGCCAGAAACGCCGCATCCTCGAGCCCATTCTTCCCCTCGGAGCTGGCGTCAACTCCGAAGCCTGTCGCTTCTGTGCACACAGCCCGCAGGGCTACTGCCGTCATCACTTCCACTTGCAGGAGCTGAAGCTCCACCAGCAGCGGCAGTCGTCCCGCATCGGCGGGGACCAGGACTACAAGCAGCTGCGTCGCATCAAGCGCGAGCTAAAGCAGAGTCTGGGACAACGGCAGCCACAGCTGAGAAGCTATCGACCACTGCTGTCCGGCAGTCCCAGCTGCAGCTCCCTGAGCAGTGGTTACGGTTCGCTCAGCACCTGCAGCACCTACGCCGACGAGGAGGAGGAGGAGGAGGAGTACGACGAGTCAGTCGAGGTCGAGGAGCCAGGTAACCTGGTAACTACTCACTTGTAGCCCTCTCCAGCAGATCTCGGGAAAATTGAGGCCCACTCCATCACATCCCATCCAATCTCAGACGCCGTTTAACAGAAGGCCTTTTGAAAGCCCTCAGCAAATTTCAAGTGGCTTGATTTTCTATTGTCGTTTCAAAAATTGAAGTAGTTACAACAATGTCGGACTTGGAGATTGAACAGCAACCGGATCCGGCACACTTGGCTGTGGTGATGACGCCCCGACGACGCCGTCACAGTGGACGACGTGGTATCGCGTCCACATCCCAAGATGCCAAGGTGTCAAAGACACCGACATCAGCATCGCCCTCGCGGAACTGTCCGCTGGCTCATGGCACCAAGGACAATTGGACCTGGAGTAATCGCAATCGCTCCAACGAAGTGGTGCTGAGTGGCCCCAACTTTCGCACCGTTCACTTCCATCCCAACTGGAGCAAGGGCACCGCCGGAGTCCAGGGCAAGCGGCCCCTCAACAACGGCCGCTACTACTGGGAGTTGCATGTGTCGCAGCGGGTCTTCGGGACCTCTATAATGTTTGGTATTGGCACCCGGTCGGCTCGGCTACACGCCAATGCCTTCCGCAATATGCTGGGCGAGAACGAGCACGGATGGGGGCTCTCCCACAAGGGCGTGCTCTGGCACAACGGCGTTGCCCTGCTGTATACGAAACGCTTCCGCGAGAATCATTCCACGCAGATTGGGGTGCTTTTTGATGGTATTGAGGGCACGCTGACCTACTATAAGGATGGAAAGTGTCTGGGCGTGGCCTTTAGGGGATTGGATAAGATTGAGGAACCCCTCTATCCCATCGTATGCTCGACTGCCGCCAAAACGGAGATGACTCTGAAGAGTGCTCGGCGTGAGTTTGTCAATCTCCAGGATCGCTGTCGGGCCGTGATTATGCGGCGAGTCCGCAGCTGCTCTCAGCTGGAAAAGCTCAAGCTTCCGCTGCCCATTCGTGCCTACTTGAGTGAAGTCATCGATGACAAAGAGCCGCTGCGTCAGGTCGACAACTACGATATACTATGTGATTTCTAGAGTTTGGAACGTCCGCATCGCTTCTCCCAAATAACGACCGATCCGACGCGGACTATATCGTAACCGTTGGATTATCGTGAGTGACGGAAGTGAACAGTCCCAGCCCATACCCAATAATTTCTAAGCTGCGACCCGTGAAACTGTTGTTGTGCCATCAAGTGGATCAGAAAAGAAACAAGAAGGAAAACGTTTCTAGGAAATATTGTACATTTTCAAGTTATTCTAAATTTAATTGTACTCTTTGCTATAAAGTTTTTTTTTTTTTTTTGGTTTTGTTTATAGCTTTCTGTTGAAATTTCTAGATAAAATGTGGGGAAATAGGCCAATTCGGTGCAATATTTGTGATATAAGAAAAGGAGGAATAAACATAAATATTCGATTCGTATTTTGGGGATCAAACTGCATAAAGCTATCCGCAAAATAAGATAAAGTCATAGGGCATAGAGCTAAGCATATTTTTCGGTACAGACGAGTGTGAAATCTAGTCAAAGAAACACTCTGCTAACCTAACATTGTATAAATGGGGTAATCAGCAAATTATTCATAAGTAATCTAATTTAGCGATGCGATGGAAAAACTCAATTCTAGTCATCCAAACAGAATTAAGCGATGTTGCCCATGATCTAAAAACATTTATGGCACTTGTAAATGTATTATACAGCTTTGGTCACATAAATATTTTAGTACAAATGATTTATTACATTATTCTTATTATGGTTATTGTAGATTTGGTGTCTGTATAAATTACTACACATAATTTAATTGGTACTCGTAGGTGGCAAGCAAGACATGTATGTAAATGAAATTCGTAAAAATACGCTCAAAACTATTAAGCGATATTGATTTTTGCCTCATTTGGGGGACATTTGGATTTACATGAATAAAACATACATTTACTAACTAAAGAAATGGGAAGTATAATGCTGCACACAGGTTTTATATCGCCCTCTCAACTCTGCTAAAAGTTGGTTCGTTATACAGGTATATGTACATATTATAGCTCATCAGCCAGGTGATTTATGTTCTGCAGGTGGTCTCCGTAATCGGTGGCCTCGCTGCCCACAAAAGTTTCATAGTTGTTGAGAATCTCCAGATAGGAGAGACGATCGTCGTGATCCTCGTCTGTGGAGACAAACAGATGGTCCACCTCATCGTTGGCAATGGCCGTATTGCTGGGCACTATCCACGAGAGCACCTCGTTGCCCGTTAGCACACCGTCGCCGTTGACATCGTGATCCTTGTCAAAACGCTCCTTCTCAGTTAGAAGCCATTCCTTGTCGTGATGTGAGGCAGCCTCACCCACAAACTCCTGGAAATTTATCTTGCCATCGTGATTCAAGTCCTTGTCCTGCATGGTATGCTCCAGGAGTATGGGCAGCATCTGGGGATGTTCCTCGGGATTGTGGAAGTACACAAATTCCTCCAGACTCAGTACGCCGTCCTTGTTCATGTCGGCTGCATTAAACATCTCCTTATCCTGCTTGATCATTTTCTGCTCCTCCTCGTAGTTGTCAAAGTCGATGGTCTCCTTCTTGAAATTCTCATCTTCCATGGAATAGGTATCCTGTAAGTACTCCTTCCATGTGATTCTCTCATCCGTTTCTTGGTCGATTTCGTCAAAGCGATCAGCTGCCTCCTCTTCGGACAGCTTTCTGTAAGTATTTGAATTAGTTTTAGCAATGAAAGTTGTTTTACGGATGTACATATGTATGTTTTTATTTGTGAGTTTGGCGAGCAGAAGCAGTCACTAGCAGTCATTATAAGGGTTAGCAGCTTGGCGACACTGATTGGGGGGGAATTAATCAACAGACAACACTCACTTAAAAGACCTTAATATCCATGCTTTCAGTTCATGCCGGTCAACGAACTCGTCCTTGTTGAGATCCATCAGTTTAACCAGCACGAGCAGGCGCCGTTTCGACTCCTCCGGCGTCAGCGTGTCGAATTCTTGCGCCTCTTTCGTATTGCCTGGCATAAGTAAATTAATACTTTAATACTTTTGTCTAAGCGTGAAACGCGGAACAGCATGTGCACGTGTATAAAAACCAAAAACACAGACCTTTGACTGACGTGTTTCTGTCAGAATACAGATTTTATAGATTTCAATGAGCAGTGCACACAAATAAACAAATCGGGGGAACATTCGGGCTATTTAGAAGAAGTGACTCACCAATGATGGCCTCGTGGTCGAACTCCACATTGTGCTCGCCATCCTCGCCATGATGGTGAGCATCCCTCGGCGCATGAATTCCATCCTTTACCCGCTCCTTACTCAAGTGATTCTCGTGTGCAGAATGCTTATGCGTGGCAACGGCTCCGAAGGCGGGCATCGGCCCCACGGTAGCTAACACGGCCACTGTGCACAGCACCAGCGGAAACATGGGCAGCTTTCTGGGCATATTAATTGATTATGCCGAACGGCGTACTCTCTGTTTTGTTCGTTTTGTTTCTTTTTTTGGCAGCACAGCTTCTTGAAACCTCACACACGCGCAGCCAACTACAAACACATATGTATAGGATATGGGACTGGGGCCACTTGTGGTCTCTTCGACTGCCGGCGGGTAAAGGGGCGCACACGTAATAGCACAAAAATGAATGAACTCTGTTCACCTTTACCTCTGGCTGAAATATGCAAAATGCCATATTTAAGCATATGTAAGTACCTACTGAAAATATTTCTACTTCAAATTCTTACCCAGAACAGCGACAGCTGCTTGCTGAAATTTTCGTTTATTAGCTCAGTATTGCATTTTGGGTTTGAAATGGCTCTAAGTACATAGATTCGTTATTTACTTTATTATTAGTTTTTTTAAACAATTTCCGTTTATTTATTTACGCAGGCCAAAAAACAAACTCGCAAGCAGTGTGACCAAATATACCACTGTATACCGATGTACCGTAAACATCGATGTTTTTTCAAATCATCCCCACATATACTTGGCGCCCATGAAAAAAAAAACTTAAAAAGTGCCAAAAATGTTTATAGATAGCTATAAAACTTTATGGAAAAATCAGGCACTGTGATCGAGAGAAATATATGCGTTAACCAACAAAATCCAAGAAAATTTGTCGACACCCTTGTGTCCGAGGTCATCTCTGTTTTTCAGTCTACATTTTAAGTGAAGTCAAGTCTGTTTTGAAAAACATCGGAAACATCGATGTTTCATCGATATTCGCGAACACCGATGTTTCTCCAGCTCACTGGCAGTGTTGCCAACTCTTTGGGTCATATAAAAGCTAAACTAGCCTTTGATAAAAGCTAGAAATAGCCAGAAAATGTTGATGGTAGTTAAAAAAAAACGCTAGAGTATTTTAACGCCTCTTGTTGGCATGTTTTCACAGACACAGATGCAACAAACCGCTAAGTTTTGAATTAATGCTAGACTTACAATATTTGCAAAAGCATTTCCCATCATCGGCTGAATCTAAAGCCAGCCAATCTTTTTCTTATAAGTCTTAGGCATTTGAAACTTACACTTCCGATCGAATCTTAGATAGTGAAATACCTCGTTGGTGATGGTATTAAAATCGATTCAATTGATTTAATACCTAAACACGATAAAATTGAATTCCCTTTTGGCTTATCGATGTTTTTTGCGATTTAAATCGAAATACTAGAAAGTATATAAGTGTGGCATCGTAAAAGCATTAAAATACATGTACAAGTTGCCAGAGGTTTTTGATAAGCTAAAATTACGTCAATTTGTCTTTAAAAATAGCCATAAATCACGCAGCCCGCTATTTTACAATTTATCTCGCATTTGCCAATTGAAACACGATAGATCTAGTGGGAAAATAGCTAAATTGGCAACACTGCTCACTGCCTCATATTGCGAAATTTGTTGGAGTTTGTTGATTTGTTGTTAAGAACAGGTGAGAACAATCTTAGAGAAGAAAGTTCTTTCCACGATTCTGTGGCGCAGGTATTTAAGTGAATGTAAGTTATCAAATCGTGAATCAAACAGTGTAAAGCGCCTAAAAAACGAGAAAAAAAAATTTAGAAAGGCAGGCGGCAGAGATGATTAAATACAAATGACATCATAGCAGCACCTTTATTTGGTGACAGCTGTGTGGCATAAAACTCGTTTATACTTGCGCGTTTATTTAGTTAGAAATTTGATCATAATTTACTTCCATTTGTGGGCCCAAAACACGCAAAGGACACCACTCTCGGAAAAGGGGGTGGGGATCAAAAGCTTTTGTGTATATGGCTGTGTGTGTTAAGGGGGGAGTCTTGAATTGGCGTTGTTGACCGGCTTATGGAGGAGAGTTTTGTTATTTTTGGTCTGAACCACGGAAATACTCATTAACGTTCCCGGAGCGGTGGTGGTCAGTGTAATTATAGCTCCTGACCAGAGCGTGGCATGCAACTGGTCCTGAGGTCAATGTGTGTATATGTGTGAGTGTGTATGTTGATTATTATCCTGGGACAGCGCACTGTGGGCGGGTCCTATGCGTCACTTTGTCACTTGTCATTCGGTATCTGCCCACATTACTCGTACAGTATAGTAATCCAATAAACCGCTGCTAACCATTTCAGCCTAAGCAGCGCGACGCGACGCCTATAAATATTAAACAAAACAAAAAATAGCAGAGACGCAGACAACGATTCGTCGTTGGCATTGGGAAAACCTCTTGAACACGTCCAAACCAATTTCGGTTTTAGTTGTGAGCCAACCTTCAGATAGAAAAGCGAGCTTTTGTCGTCCCCGTGCTTACATTTGATTTCAACTATTTTTCGGCCACTCTGACTCCGCTCGCCCACCTGCGCTAATTAAACAGCAAAAGCATACCAAATGCCGTACATTATCATACGCGGCAATCTAGCCTCCTACAGTCACAAATATCCATGGCGTGTGCTCGTCTCTGGATTGAAAGGTAAACCCAGCCAAAGCTATTCAGTTCAGTTGAAGTAGTAGATTTCCCATTTTCGATTTAGGTTACAATTTTTTATCGTTTTATTTTGTGCTGTTTTGTGCGTTTATTATTGCGACACAATTCATTTAAAGATTGCTTGGCAAACAGATACACATATGCATATCTACATACATAAAAATATATCTATACATAAGTGCACGCTCACATGTAAAACACGCAAGCTTAAAGCGCCAGTTGTGGTTATATCAACTTTACACTAAAAACAAAACTTTTTTTGAATGAACAAACAGTGACGGTCCAACAATATGCAGGACAGAGCTGTAGTGAAGCTGGAAGCTTATTCTGCTCAGGTGACATTTATTGGCTCAGCTAAGCGTCTAAACTAAAACTGTCTGTTACAAAAATACTTAAAATTGTACCAGAATAGTTTTCTACAGCCCAGTAAAATTTGCGAATGCTAAAATTTAGTTTTTAGGTTTTTAGCTGCCAAGCTGCACCGATGTAGCAAATTTTTAAAACTTTTTTAGCACTACACCCTATTTAAAATTTTGTATTTATATATGCCTCAACAAATCAACAGCTGTGCCTTAATTGCATGCCATTGCCACCACCCAATCCCACCCTCCCGCTTTTTACGACTGCCACTGTTGGAAGCTCTTCTCTCCACGTATGTGCTTCTCTCGTCGTCAATTTCGGTTGGTTGGCCCGTGCAGTTCACATCTCAGAAATCGCATCTGAAGTTAGTATAATCAAACATACATCTATATGTATCTGATAATACATATAGATATATCGGAATATTACTGTTGCATATTTATAGCACTTTTACATGTGGCCTGCATGGCAGAAGTCAATACACTTTACAATTTTCCAAGAGCTCGGAGGGAAATAGCCCAATTTTTCTCATATTATGAAGCGAACAATACGTTTCGGCTTTTTGCTTAATTAGCGCACTCACACACCCAACGACACAGACCTGTCCGACGGCCCTGAGCTGACGTCATCTGTGCCGTTCGGCCAGTGTTATCTTTTGTTTGTTCTGTTTAAACATAGCTCCCTTCATGATAAACGAAAAGGAAAGCGATTTCCACATAAAAGTAAGCTAATCACTTGCACCCATACCTTACAGCTGACGACATCGAACAGTTGAACAAATTCTCGTGCGGCGGCTACAGTGATGAGTCCACCATCGTCTACTTAGTGCATCCTTGTCGCATTTTATCGGCGCTAGAAGTGAGTAAAATAAGGTGGAATTAAACTGACCCACCAAAACTCATTTACGTCATTTACTTGCAGATATTGGGATTTCGCGTTGTGGCCAGCTCGTCGACAGCCGTAAAGCAGGACTACAACGAGTATATGTGGACAATGCGCAAGGAGTTCGACGAACCAGAACCCTTGGAGGCCGAGTCGGTTGTGCGCGAGAATCTGTCAAATATTGGCCGAGAGGCAGCCAGCTTAGGCAACTATCACAAGGTGGATTCGCCCGAATAGGAAAAGCATTTCCACCAAAAAAACAATCCAAAATCAGAAAAATATTTAAAATAGTTGTATAATATTGTGTGTGCGTGACTGTGACCGTTCTTGTGTGCGTGTAGAAAACTATAGCAACGTAGGGAAACTTGTTCCACAACACATTCTGAAGCTGAAGCCTTCCGCACCACAATAAGTGAGTGAAAAAGTGACTAATCCAATCCAAGACCCAAACAAAACTATGAGTGACAGCCAGCCCACGGCAAAGGAGTCGAATTTGAACTGCGAGTGTCCTGCTGCGTCATCGACCACATCGGTGAACGCCGCTGCTGCTGCTGCTGCCGCTGCCGCTTGTCCCGCCAATGTTGTGACCATTCCTGTTCCCATACTCCAATCCGAGGGCACTTTCGTCTACATCACCGTCAAGGGATCGCTCCACGACTACACCTGTACCATATTCGGATTGAACCAGGCCGAGGTACAGGCTCTGTCCAAGCGCTTCGACAGCGGCGTGAAGCAGTGTGTTAATGGTATTATGGTGGCAGTGCCGCCCATGGTTATGTTGAATACGTTGGCCCAGTTAAGCTACAAAGTCGTCTGCAGTTGTGGTGAGGCCGAGATCTGCTGGACCATGCAACGTGAGGTCTAATCATTGCCCATATCACCCCAAGACGTCATCATCCAAAATCATTCAATAAAATCACATAAACAAGGAATTTGACATCGATACTGAACACACTCTCGAAAGGAATAGGCAAAAATGGATAACCACAGAGCGGACAACTGCAAATGCCACAAGCAATCGCAACCGGCACAGCAGACGCTTAGCGACATGGACTTTGATCGGGGCATATGGAATGCAGGTATACATGGAACACATAGTTGTAATCCTATAATCCAATTACTGACTCCTTCTCCCCATAGCCATCTATAATGAAGTGGATCGTGTAAGGGACTTCATCAAGAAGGGCCAGGCCATGGCCCGAGATGACTGCGACTATACGGCTCTTCATTATGCGGCACGCAGTGGCAACGCACAAATCTGCAAGCTCCTCATCGATGAGGGCAACGTGGATGTGAATGCGACGACCAAGGCGGGTGCCACAGCTCTCCATCGGGCAGCCATGATGGGTATGATAAATACACTTTTTGTAGCATCCATTAATTTTTATAACACCCCTGATTCCATGCCCACAGGTCATCTGGATATAGTGAAGCTCTTGACTGAACACAAGGCTAATCTCCTGCTGCAGGATGAGTGCGGACAGAGCGCCCTGCATCGTGCAGCATTGCGTGGCCACCTGGAGGTTTGTCGCTACCTACTGGAGCAGGAGCCAACCCTAAAACAGCTCAAGGACAAGAAGGATAAATTTGCTTTTGAGTACATCATGGAGAATGCGAATGACGATTTTAAGCTATTGCTAAAGCCCTAAGGGGCGTCATTCCGTTTCCACTGGCATGAGTATCATTATATTTTCTTTTTAATCTAAGAACAAAAAAGTTGCAATTTTCTTCTTTAAAACTCTGTACTGTTTATTTAGACACTCAAAATGTATGTATATTTTTTCTAAAATTTCATCCGATGTTTAAAATTCTAATTTACAATTGCATATGTAATGTCCCTTCTTGAATTTCGTTCTGTCAGAGATACAATAGATTGTATGTGGGGGAAAAGTAATCTTAACTTTGGCATAGTCAAATAAATAACCTAGTGCATACATCGTATAAATATCTATATAGACTACTATATACATACATGTCCAACAAACATGAAATGTGTGCAAGTAATTTAGTTGATGTCTCCCAAACAGATGCAAGAAGCGAGCATTCGTGCGTAAATATGTAATACATTGTAAGAAATTAATATCACATTAGAGTTGTGCAAGAAATGTGTTGGTATCTCCGATCGAACTCGGATTGGAATGTTGCAGAACCCTACTATCTCCTATACACAAATATAGACATTCAGAGATAGGCCATACATACATATATTGGCCAATATACAAAACTAAAAGCTACATACCATATACCCACATATTTAAAACCTATATAATCTGAATAAATTCTTAATCCCACGATTCGGGCGATCTGTAGACGCGCATGGGTTCACGATCCGCCTCTATGGACCTTACCTTGGCCAACTCATCAAAGTCGCTGAGATATTTCTTCAATATTTCTGGTATATCAAACTCGTCGATGAATATGCCGAGCGTGGATCGATTTGGTTTGGGGAGATATTTCTGCTCCAGCGAGGGCCGCATTTGAAGATTCCGAAGAATATTTTTGCGAATCACCAGACGAGCGGTGGACTTCAGGGAGCGCGGGTTAGTTGCGTGCAGGGACATTTCCGTTTCGAGTTGCTGTCGAGGCGCTGACCAATTGTTTGCGTGCCCTCGCTTCTTGAATGGCGGCAGCTGGAATCCGGCATTGTCTAGGGGGTGAAAAAGGGGTGGGGGTAAGCCAGAAATCGGAAAAGAGTTGTGCGCCAGATCAAAACTTACACAGTAATCGGCCGAAGGCCACACTCCGTTGAGAGCAGTTTGAACGCAGCTCGCTGACCACATGCTCCGGGCAAATCTGTGCTAGATTGCTGCCCTCGTGAATGAGGAGCTCGGCCAGGTCCAGGCGGTGCAGGTTGATGGCTCGCGACAGCGGAGTCTGGCAGTAGATTAGGCCGCAGACAATGGTCGGAGCACACGAGCCATACAGATCTGTACGGGCGCTGGCCAGCCTGGCCAACAGCACTCTAAGGACGCCTCGCAGATCGTCGACGTGGAGGGCATGCTGCACCGCGAATAGGATTAAGCCCTCGTCCTGCGCACTCATGTACAGACCCTGCCGACGATGCTGCTCGGCCACGTCCAGCAGATAGCCCAGCATCTCCGACTGCTGATTGTAGATGGCTACCATGATGGGTGTATGGTTGTCGCTGTCCCGCACGGAGAGACTGTCCCCATACTGCAGCAGAGTCTCCACCAACTTGCGATTATTGTGTCCCACGGCGAGATGCAGGAGATGCTGTGAGGCCAGACGCCGGGCTCCTCGCTCGAGGAGAAGCTTCGCCATGTCCGTGTGGTGACCCCTGACAGCGAGCATCAGAGCCGTCTGGTTTTCCTTGTCCTGAATATTGATGTGGGCCCCTCGCTCGATCATTTCCTTTGCCAGTACCGTCATGCTGCAGGCAATGGCCGTCATCAGGGGCGTTTCGCCCAAGTCGTCCGTTTCGTTGATGTTGATATTCGTCTGGAGCAGCAGCTGGGCCGACTCCTTCGACTTGCTCTCTATGGCCAAGTGGAGGGCCGTCTTGCCGTCGCTCAAGGTCTTGGCATTGACAGGAGCTCCGTGCTGGACGAGCAGCCGGGTGACCTTGGGGAATCCAGCACCCAAATGCAGGGGGCCGTAGCCATCGCTATTCACCACATTGATCGGGGCATTGTGCTCCAGCAGTATCCGGACGCACTCATCGTGCCCCCAGAAGGCGGCATAGTGCAGGGGCGAGGTCAGACAGGCATCGCACAGATGTGGATCCTGCTCACGGCAACTGGCGCAGCATTGGGCCACAAACTCCCCCATGCTCTCCAAGGTCTTGGCATAATACTGATACAGCACACTGTCCTCGCCTCCTGCTCCAGCAGCCGGCTGACCACTGTTCTCTGCGCAGCTCTCGAACTCGTCTATCCACTCAAGCTTATCCATGCCTTCGGGTGTGCTCTCGATCTCCAGGCTATCAGTATGTGCTGCAATAACGGAAACAATTCTTTGTTTAACTGAACACCGAAATCTGTAAATTTTTTGACTGCGTTTTCGGCTACCTGGCATATCTAACGTACTGGGCCTACTGGACTGCCCCTTTCCATTGGAGCTTTCCAACACGTCATTCACTCTGTTGGGTTCTTATCTGAGGTGAGGCTAGAGAACCGGTTTGGTTCGAGACATTTAATTTCGTTTCATGCACTTTGCGCTGCGCATGCATTTCGTTTACCATCCGAAACGGGTTGGTGTGTAACCGTGCACCTACTCTGCATGTAGGTCAATGGCAAGCGCGCTGCCACACTAAGCAGCGAACTTAGGTAGCCGGAAGCATCTGCAGTGTTAGCAACTAATCTGAGGAGGGTACAAATGGGTATTCTGCCAATCATCCCTATCTTTCGGATAACAATACATTCTATTTGCCTAAGGCCGATTTCGCAAAACATTTCACCACCACATAAACTTCTCATCGATTTTGTTTGTTGGCCAGCTGTTTACCGGAGGACAAGTTCATGCCGGGGTCAGAAAACTCACTCTGACGGAACACATCCAGTTCCGGTTGCTCACATGACTGCACCAGGAGTTCCAGCAGCTCGGCATCGCCCAGCAGAGCGGCCGTGCCGACGGCCGTGCGTCCGCAGTTTGGCGATACATACGATGCCTGCGCCCCATGCATGATGCAGCTGAGGGCTTGCTCAATGTCCCCGCTTTGGACGGCACTCAGCAGCCGCTCGTTGATGTCGTAGGACAGCATATTGCCATTGGTTGTTAGTGGGATTAGTTGTTATTTGTTATAGACTAATATAAAGCGGATGAGCTGAGCAAAACGCGATGCGAAAAAAGAACAAACCAAAAGAAGCTGCCGTGTGTGAATGTGTGAAAAAGTGCGTTTCCGCCGTCAGCAGCTGCAACACTCCCCCGGAAAATCACACGTAAAACTAAATCCAAACAATCCCAGTGCGCAGGAGCGAGGTCAACTCACGGTAGCCGCAACGCAAACACACCCCCATAGCTCGTGCCATGGGAGAGCACAAAAGAGAACTCAGCTGGTATTCGCTTCTACGCATATACAATGCTGGATTGAATAGAGTGTATAGATTTATTCTGGTCATCAGTAGTGTATGCATAGATCTCTACGCCTGCCGGCGGACGCCTCGCCTCACTCTATGTCTAAGACGTATTATAATCTACTTGATTTCCTTGGCGTTCTGCAATGATTCGGTGATGAAGAGTTTGGCCAGAATTTGAGAGCAGAATTGGGCAATGTGCTGCGAGTGTGTGTTGATCTGACCAGAGGTAATTGTGGCCGTAAGCCTGGCCGGCACGGGCATGGGGCGGAACTGCTTGATGACCTCTTCCTCGGCCACCGTCGGCTCACCCTTCGAGGTGCGCACAGCGTTTTCGGCGGCCAGCTTGGCCAAAGCACGGTTTTTGTCCTGGAAAATAAAGTAAAAATATAATAGCCGCTTTTCTGGTTTTTTTTTTCTGTTTAAATTCCTTACCGAATCCTGCTTGAACACCACTTGCTGATACTTGTTATAGCGCACGGCCTCCTGGTACAGCTCATCGACGCGCTCAATCAAGCTCCGCATGTGATTCTCCAGCACTGAGGCGGTGCCCAGATCCAAGAAGTTGTGCCCTTTGTCCTCGGGAAGCAACTCATTTAGCTCGCTCATCATGATGTTAGTCAATGGCGAGTTCTTGATCACGATTGGGATCTCTGCAAACAGACTCTCGTAGCCCACCTTCAGCGTACGGAATGCCTCGGGAGTAAAGTCGCCGTCCTTGTACATCTGTATGGCTTGCGGTGTCAGCCGGTAGGCCTTCAGACAGAGGAAGCCCCGTGCGGACTTCTGCGTATCGTAGACCACGACCACAGACTCCTCGATACTGGTCTGATAGTGATACTGGGACTCGAGCAGAGCCAGCGACAAGCTGTTTCCTACGTCGGAGCTCTGATACCAGCCCACATGCAAGTGATCCACGTTCACCCGGCGCAGGCGACGCATCACGGTCAGCTGGTACATCTCCTCGTCCATAGTGTCGTCGCCACTCTTGGGGAACGGGAAGCAGTTGGTGATTTCGAGGCACTTGTCCACCACCAAGCCGAGCAGGGCGCCCTGGGCCAGATCCATGTTGCTGGACTCCTCATGGCAGTGCTTCACCATTTTCATGACGGCCTGTGGAGAGAAATTCTCTTGTTAATTTCAAAATCCATGCATTTGTCACTCTCCTCTCCCACACACACACACACTCACGCACACAAAAAGAAACGCGCTCACACATGCTCATGTTTAGCCAGCGCGTGGCATCGAATTTTGCGTTTCCTTGTGCGCGTTTCTGGGCGTCTTTTCAAGCGAAACATTGCCGCAAAGTTTTATGTTTGTTTTAAACTCACCAAACCGTCGCATTGCACATAGTTTATTGTATTATCTGAATCCTCTGTGCGAGCATGACGACCACCGCGATTTGCCATTTTGAAGCGAAAAAGTGGAGGTTAGAGGTGTCAAACCATCGAGGGCACTATCGATAGTATCGATTTTTGCTGCTATCCGCTACTATCGACGGTTTTACGACTATTATGATAGTATCGAGCAACAGTTGTTCCATGTGCCAGTTCATACACCGAACGTGTCGCAGCTGAGTTTTCTGTCCCAGGTCCCAGGGCCTTCGGCTCTGTGTGGCAGATGGATTCGGGTCGGGAGCTGGGACGTTATAGTGTATACTGTATGGTTAGTGGTGCTTCGTCGTAGTGCGATTCGATTGTTGGTACCCCCAGAGTTTACGGTGGGGGTGGGGGGCCAGTGGTGAGCTAGAATTACATATTGTGGTGTAGCCACAGTGGCCGCCCGGAGCGTTCGACAAGCGGGGGGAGCCCGCCGGGGGGGCGGTGGGCCGGGGGGCACCGGGGGGGCGAGCGGAGCCGGGGGGGGGGCGGGGGAGCGCCGCACCACACGGGGGGCCGCGCCGCGCAGGGGGCCCAGCCCCCCCGCGCCCACCCCGCGGGGGCATGCCCAGCTACAAGGGACCGGGCCCCACCGATGGGGCTAAGGCAAGCCAGAAGGAGAATCTCTAAAAAATCCCAGAAGCCTGAGATCGAAGATTATGAGAAATGGAAATCGAGAATGCTGGCAATGGCTCAGGCAAAGCTGAGAGAATTGGAGGCACCAAATGAACAACCACTAGAGGGATAAAGAGTTTCCTTGTTGGTTGGCCTCCTGAGTGAACTTGTTATATCCATGTGAAAACCAGTTGTACTACTTGTAAGTAAATTAAAAATTAAGAGATTTTCGTTGCTTTATGTCAATCGGACCTTTTGTTGGCAGTCGAAACGATAGCTGCACTTTTTAAAGCATCTTTTTTTTGTTCTCCATGTGGGCGATGATAATTTCGCCAACGTCGATAAGATCACCATTATCATCATGTGCTGTAATAAATGGGACTTTTATAATTGAATGTTTAATTGAAGTACGAAAATCGACGTACAATTATAGATGATTGGTTCCACTAAGTTGCGTGTCTCTGGCCAAGTTTCCAAAAGACCTTTTAAATGCATGTAAAACTTAAGCCAGATCTCACGCTTCATTTCATGCATTTCCCAGGTGGCCGATATATGCGACTGCATCGATTCGAAGAAGGACAACATTGGTGTAGCACCCTCAATGGCAAAGTAATAGAATTGACCATTGATTTCGCGTTTAAGTTTGTAGACAGCATGTGGGACAGCAGTGGGAAAATCGCAGTGTACTTCCGTCAAGTCCCGTGAATAGCCAGTACAGCGGCATATGGGCGAAGTACGCAAATGTTGGAATTAGCTCTCTGCCATTTCCGGTTGCAGACAATCGCATGAGTCCCAGGACAAAAAAGCCCAGTAATGTAACGGCGATCCTTTTATCGTATGTATAGGAACGCCGCAATATAGTCAACAGACGATCCTCTGGCAAATAGTATCGACAGTACTGGAAATATTTAATTACACTGTGGGCCAGGCGCTCAATCAGATCCGCCAGGAACAGAGTACCGACAATGCGTATGGAGGTGTCTAAAATGATTCAAGTTTTTCGCCAAGTGCATTTATTGATTGATCTTTACTCACCTATGTAATCGCCAAGCATTTTTTTTTTTTTTTTTTTTGTGGTTTTATGTTACCACTCTACCCTTGAGTAGCGTGGAATTATTTGGCCGCCCGCCCTTACAAGGTGGAAATTGCCAAGTCGAAGATGATAACTGTTTACAGTTTTACGTAAATTTTGTCGATGAAGTCGATTAATGTTTGGTACGAGCTGATGTTTTCTTTTTCAAAGAATTTGTAAATATCATTATATTTTCTTAGAGATGGGTAGTTTAGTCTTGTTGTGTTGTACCACTAACCATACAGTATATAGATGTGCCAGTTCATACAACGAAAGGGGCGCAGCTAAGTTTGCAGCGTACGTTCCCCGATCTTCGGCTTTGGGAATGGCCGCGTTCGGCTCATGACGTCACACGAGCCGACTGGCAGCAAGCATGCATGCGTTGTGTACGTGTACACTCCAAAATATATGATTGTATGCATAGAATAATTTTTAGCTGCCGAAACCGACTTTGTTCGAGATTTCAGTTTACGTAAACGTGTGTGTGCCATGTATTCACACATACTGTGCTTGTATGTGGGCTCTACAATTTTTGGGTGGGAAATAAATACAGTATATAAAAATAAAGGATGTTATCTCTGCTCATATCTCCTAAACTAAAATTATCTTGAAAATTAGATTCGCTAAAGCTCTGGAAAATGTTCTACTAGATGTGTACATTTATTTTATTCAAAGCGTTCATAAAATATTTTTTCGTTTTGTTTTGAAAAGCTGATGTTGCGACGGGCGCGCGTGATATTTTGTTGATAAAACAAAACTCCAATTTTTACTAGCTAGTTGGCCCTCTCAGCCCTAAACAAATAATTTTATCCAATTCCTCAATAAATTTGGTTCAGGATTGGCTGGTTTTCAGAACTCTTTTTCATTGGATTGTTTATATAATAAGGTTCAAACAAAAACGGCCAAAGCATAAAACGTAAATATTGACTAAATGTGACGTCATTGTTGCTGGTCAACCAAGTTTCTTCTATGCGTATGGGCTTTTGTATACCTTATTTCCTTTAATTGATGTTAAATTTTTTGTTCCAAGCTACTTTGAACCATAAATATTGAATTTATCTTATATCGACCACCACGATTTGAGAGAGCGTTTCTCTACCGTACCAGCAGCATTTAAAGCGAGAGCTCCCGGTCATCTTCGGCTGGGACATGAGGAAACTATATTAGTATGTACTTTTTAGTCTTTATATACTTTATGCCCTCTACATACTTTTCATAGGCTAGGCTATATGGCCCTTAGTTGTCCGGATTGGTGCGTATGGACCTTCTAAGTGTTTTTACGCGGTTTCGAAATCCGTGAGGATCGAGGAGAATTTTGCAAAGGCAAGGAGTTCCGCTGGCGTCCTCTTGGATGCATCGTCCAGCGATGCCAATACCGGGCTGCCAAGATGTTTGTTTCTTGCCCTTGAGAGGGCCGGGCATTGGCAGATTAGATGTTCCAGGGTTTCGATAGCCCCAGATTCATCACATTTCCTGCACTTGCCACTGTTGGTGATGCCTAGTTTGACTGCATGTGCTGTGAGTATACCCTCTGAGTTTACCATTGCTCTCCTTGCACATGGTTTTCGCGATTTTGCAGCTGGTGGTTCTCCTCCACCTGCTACTGGCCTGTATGTGTGCCCGCCTCTCTAGATCGCTTTGAAGCGTTCTGAGGGAGACAGGCACGTTCTAAGTCCTGTCGTTTGCCAGCCCGACGCCTTCCTTAGCCAGCACGTCTGCTGTCTCGTTGCCTTCGATGCCCTGGTGGCTGGGAACCCAATATATCCGCACTGACTTTGTCGTGCTTAGGAATTCTAATGCCTCCCTGCTTGCCAGGACATTTTTGGAACTGACCGCTGACGACTGCATGGATCTTATCGCCGCCTGGCTGTCCACGAACAGGTTGACCACGTTATGTGGGCGTTCCGTACATCGAGCAACCTCCGCCGCTTTCCGTATGGCAAAGACTTCTGCCTGGAATATGCTGCATTGGTCCGGTAGCTTATAGGACAGCCTTATTTCAGAGTCTGTACAGTATATGCCCGCACCTACTCCTCCCTCCATCTTGGAGCCATCCGTGTATATGTTTAGGTGTTCATTCTGATCCCAACTTTCTTTCCAGTCGTCGGGTCCCATGTGTATCGCTGTTTTGACGTCCAGGCAAGTTCGGGGGATCATGTAGTCAGATATACTGATCATGTCTCGGCCTATTGAACTGTGCCCGAATCCTTGCAGCGACTAGGCTTTGTGCTGCCTTACCTGCAGTCAGTTCAGCGTGGATGACCAGGGGGTCAATTCCGAGTATTGTTTCGAGTGCTTTTGTTGGGGTTGAGGATGAGGTCCGTCTTGTCCGCGTTGATACTGAGTCCTACTTTTCCCGCCCACTCACATATCTCCCTGAGTGTTGATTCCATTATAGAGCTGAGGCTCGATGGGCATACCCCCGTAATAATTATGATTATGTCGTCCGCATAAGCTGTTATTTTTGGGGCTCTCCTCTCGAATCTCTTTATTAGGTCGTCGACCACCAGATTCCATAGGAGGGGCGACAGGACCCCACCCTGAGGTGTGCCTCTGTGTGGCCCTTTCACCATGGAAGCGGTGCCCCACTCTGAGTACACCCGTCTACAACTTAGAAGGTTCTTTATCCAGAGGTTGATTGCGGAATGTGTGTTGATCGCTTCTAGGCGGTCCATTATCGCGCTCGTATTCACTTTGTTGAATGCTCCGGATATGTCTACGAACACTCCTAGAGCATACTTCTTATTTTGGAGGGCATTTTCGATGGTGGCTACTAGCGAATGCAGTGCCGTCTCTACCGATTTCCCTTTGGTATAGGCATGCTGGTTGGTTGACATCTGCCCACCTACATCGTTTCTGATGTGTAGATCCAGCAGTTTTTCTAGTGTTTTGAGTAGAAAAGAGGTGAGGCTTATCGGTCTATAGTCATGGCTGGGGCTCTTATGGCTGCACTTTCCTGCCTTTGGAAGGAAGACAATCCTCGAGGTCCTCCATTGAATAGAGATATAGCCCGTGCTCAGGCAAGCTGAGTATATTGCAGAGAGCCATGGGGTGATCACGTCTTTGGTCGCCTGCAGCATGGCTGGAAATATACCGTCTCGTCCAGGTGATTTTGTACCCGCAAAGGAGTCTATAGCCCAGTGGATTCTCTTAGACGATATGAGATCTGTTTGAGGGTGCTGATCCTCAGTTGCTAGGTCCTGATGCTCTGTAGCGTCAGCGACCTCGGTGCATCCTGGGAAGTGGGATCCATTAGTGCTGTTAGGGCGTCTTCGCTGCCCTCAGTCCACTGTCCATCATTTCGTTTCAGCTGACTCTGTATGGCGGGTTGCTTTGATAGCAACTTCCGGAGTCTGGCCGTTTCTGGGACTTTCTCGATATTGGAGCAGAAGTTCCTCCACGAGTTTCTTTGTGCTGAGTATTTCCTTCTTGTACTCCCTGAGTATGGTTTTGTATTCCTCATTGATTATCTCGTCGTTCGCCAGTTTGGCGATTTTGAAGAATTCTTTGAGGTTATTTCTTTGAAGCGATAAGTCCCGGTTCCACCACAGTGGTCTGGTTATATTTTTCGTTCTCGAGGGTGGGCATGCTGCGTGGCACGCATCCAGTAGCTCCTTGGAGAGGGTCTCTAGGGACGTTTCTATAGACTGGTTAGTACGTTAGACGAGGTGGGGCCTACGAAGGTGTGCTCCTCCCCCACGTTTACTACATCTAGATTAGTGGATAGTATAAAGTCTAGAAGTGACTCACCTCTTTCGTTGATATCGGGGCTTCCCCACACGCTATGGTGGGCATTGGCGCCCGTACCAACTAGAAGTTGCTGGTCTTTCGGACTGGCTTCCGCCACCAGACTCCTTAGCTCCTCCGGTGGTGCTGGCCTGTCGTGGCCATGTAGCAGGATGCTACCATAAGGTGCTTGTCCTTGCTTTCAAGCATCACCGCAGCCGGGTTTTTTTTTTGGGGGGGGAAAAATTTTTTTTTGGGGGGGAAAATTATTTATATAAAAAAAAAAAAAAAAAAAAAAAAAAAAAAAAAAAAAAAAAAAAAAAAAAAAAAAAAAAAAAAAACGGGGGGCCCCCCCGGGGAGAAGAAAAAACCAGGGCCCCCGGGGGGGGGGGGGGGGGGGGGGGGGGGGGGGGGGGGGGGGGGGGGGGGGGTTTGGTTTGGGGGGGGGGGGGGAAAAAAAAAAAAGGGGGGGGGCCGGGGGGGGGGGGGGGGGGGGGGGGGGGGGGGAGGGGGGGGGGGGGGGGGGAAGGGGGTGAGAAAAAAAAAAAAAAAAAAAAAAAAAAAAAAACCGGAAGGGGGCCTAAAAAGGGGGGGGGGGGGGGGGGGGGGGGGGGGGGGGGGGGGGGGGGGGGGGGGGGGGGGGGAAAGGGGGGGGGGGGGGGGGGAAAAAAAAAAAACCCCGTGGGAAGTCTAAAAAAAAAGAAAAGGGGGCGCCCGGGGGGGGGCCAAAAAACCAAAAAGGAGGGGGGGGGGGGGGAGAAAAAAAAAAAAAAAAAGGGGGGGGGGGGGGGGGGGAAAGGGGGGGGGGGGAGGGGGGGAAAAAAAAAAAAAAAAAAGGGGGGGGGGGGAAAAAAAAAAAAAAAAAAAAAAAAAAAAAAAAAAAAAAAAAAAAAAAAACCCGGGGGGGGGGGGCGGGGGGGGGGGGGGGGGGGGGGGGGGGAGAGGGGGAGGGGGGGGAAGAAAAAAAAAAAAAAAAAAAAAAAAAAAAAAAAAAAAAAAAAAAAAAAAAGGGGGGAGGGGGGGGGGGGGGGGGGGGGGGGGGGGGGGGGGGGGGGGGGGGGGGGGGGGGGGGGGGGGGGGGGGGAAAAGGGAGGAGGGGGGAAAAGAAAAAAAAAAAAAAAAAAAAAAAAAAAAAAAAAAAAAAAAAAAAAAAAAAAAAAAAAAAAAAAAAAAAAAAAAAAAAGAGGGGGGCCCGGGGGGGGGGGGGGGGGGGGGGGGGGGGGGGGGGGGGGGGGGGGGCCCGCCCCCCAACAAAAACCCCCCCCGCCCGCGAAAAAAAAAAAAAAAAAAAAAAAAAAAAGAAAGCAGGCCGGACCGGCCGGGGGGGGGGGGGGGGGGGGGGGGGGGGGGGGGGAAAAAAAAGAAAAAAAAAAGGGGAAACAAGGACAGGGGGGGGGGGGGGGGGGGGGGGGGGGGGGGAAAAAAAAAAAGAAAAAAAAAGGGGGGGGGGGGGGGGGGGGGGGGGCAAAAAAGGGGGGGGGGGGGGGGGGGGGGGGGGGGGGGGGGGGGGGGTTTGGGGTGGGGGGGGGGGGGGGGAGAAAAAAAAGAGGGGGGGGGGGGGGCGCGGGGCCGGGGGGGGGGGGGGGGGGGGGGGGGGGGGGGGGGGGGGGGGGGGGGGGCCGGGGGGGGGGGGGGGGGGGGGGGCCCGGGGGGCGCGGCGGGGTTTTGGGGGGGGGGGGGGGGGGCCCCCGGGGGGGGGGGGGGGGGGGCCGGCCCGGCGGGGGGGGGGGGGTTTACCAGGGGGGGGGGCCCCCCCCCCCCCCCTGGGGGCCCAGGGGCCCCCCGGGGAAGATCCGGGCGGTCCACGATGGACTCCAGACCTAGGTCCTTCCTACCTACCTTCCTGCCTACGCCCCATGCCATCTTCCCGAATCTCGGGTAGAGGATGTCCTCTGCCTCCTTATTGATCTGGAGGATCATGTGCTGGCCCCCCTCATTGGGTAATAGGTTACCAGCATGCAGGATTTTCCAGTCAGCCGTTGGAACCTCTGTATTCTGCCTCTGGAGGAGTTTCAGTGCTCGGTCTCCCTGGACTGCAATGGGGAAGAGCACCTTCGCCTTTGGGATGGAAGGGATCATCTCCCTGTCCACTACCTCCAGCTTGGCGCCCTCCCACTGAGCTTCCAATTTGGGCACCACTTGCACCATCCACTTCCTCGTCGGGTCGTCGTTGCACTTGAGGATCTTCACCCCGTTCAGCCATCATGCACCGTCGAAGGTGGGCATGGGAGCGTCCGGCGCGTCCTCCATTCGCGCGAAAAGGGATTCCACCAGCTGGGCGTGGACCTGTTTCCACTGCGCCGCCGTCATCTTCTCCTCTTGGGAGATGTCCTCTTTTCCTTGTAGCCGGCTTCGGATTTTGAGGGCCTTAGCCTTCATCCCCTCTCTAGAACGCTTCGGCCCTTCCCTACGCAGGGAGCTGGTACCTGGTTCAGGCGATCGGAGAAGGCTCTCTTCTTCCGTTCTGCTTACGCTGAGCACGCTCTCCAGGTCCGAGTCTGTTTCGACCACGGCACCCGTGCGGCTCAGCTTGCAGAGAGGCGTTTTGGTGGCAGTAGCTTTGAAACTAATATGACCTGCTCCCGCCATATTAGAGTTGGGACCGCTGGCGACACGCAGAGAGGATTGCTCCTCCCCGTGCCCGCCGGTGGTAGCAGTCACGCTTTAAACCGACATTTGGACTGACATCCCAGTCCCTGTTCGATCCTTGCTCCGGTCCATGTGGTTAATATTTATCGGGGGGACCACCCCCTAGCGTTTTATGCCTGACCGCCAGGCACCTCCAGCCATGGCCATGGTTCAGTTCCCCCAATTTTATATCGGGAAGACCTGGACCTGGCCTTAGCTAGACACTGCATTACCTCGGACAGAGCAAGCGGCAGTGCATTACCCGATCCGGGATGCCCATTGCCCGGCCGGCACCCTCTGGGAGGGTTCAGCTGGAGGATTTTCGCCTGGCCTTCACGATAAAAAAAAATAAAGTACTAAACAAATTTTTAAATCCCGAAATCTATCAGAAAAAGTCATTTTGCTCCCCAGCCTAAAGAAAAAGTTTAATTTTGTTGAGTAGTGCTATCAGCACCAAATTATCATTTCATTCCAAGCCACTTTATTGAGGAGACAACCGTGGAAAATGTCGCGTGCGTCAAAAATTGGCCCTACATAGAATACCTTTTAAGCTACTACTTGCTTAAGTTTTACATGTATTTGATATAAAATTGTTTGGTTAAAAAATGAGCCAAACCAAGCCCATTTCTAGCGTTCCTGTTTGTAGAAAACTTTATTTTCGTGATCAGAGAAAGTTAGGTATTGAAGTGGGATCTTGTTAAATTTGAGAATCGTACATTTATACTTATCTTGGGAGTCCGCCAGATTCATTTGGCCATATAAATCCACGCCAGACCGCCTTGGCCTCCGATTAGCCAGACGGCCTATCATCCATAATAAATATTTTCTTTTTGTACTCAAAAAATACTTTTCGATATAAAATCCGTTACAAAAATAACGTTTACCTTACGCGTTTTTAACTTTCAACCAATCAAATCGTTCGAAATTTTCTGTAAACATTTTGGGTTTTCTGGGCAAAGTCCAAAAATATGTCGCTCGACCATGAAACAATAAAGTAATGCCGAATATTTTTCTTCACAAGTCCGCTGAGTAACAAAAAAAATCCATTAATATTTTTTAAAATCATATCATTAATAATAACGATGAAGAAGATTCATTGTTGCGACGTTCCATACGAATTCCCGCTAAGAACATGCGGCTCACGCCACGAAAAGCGCTCTCTTCACCTCGGAAAAGAGAGCAAATTTTGAAAAACCACCAGGATTTGAGAACGAAAAATGTCGGTATTTTTTGTGCGCTAAATGAGTTTGGTGGTCATTTTGAAAAGTATCTTAATGTATTGGAAAATAAATATTTGACTGGATTTGTTTTGTCGGTGCTGTCAGTGACTGCCAGAAATGCAGGGATTTGTATGCCCTTACACCAGAGGTCGGCACACACACACGCACAGTTTTTCAGTGCCTGCCTTACACTAAAGACCCATATATTTAATGAATTTTTCACCTGATTTGTTTTTTACTTATTAATGTAAAGAATATCTAATATTTATAGGGCATTTTGTTACGAACACCTCCCTTCCCAAAGTTTTGGATAATTGTATGACCCATTTCCTTTAATTAATGCTTTTCAATCGTATTTAAATCCCATTTTAATATTGCATTTTTCTCAGATTTTTATTTTGTGAACAAATTCATGCATTTGATTAGTTTCCTGTAGTTTATACGAACCGTCTAAAATTCTGTTAAAAATTATAAACAAAAATTGAAATAAAAATAACTCGCTTCTGTGTAGTTATCAGTGGAAATAATTTCAATGGAAATGATTCGGACTACGTCGTGTGCCATCTATCATAAACGAAAGAACGAAAAATATAAGATAGCATGACCGGACATGCTTCCGTTCTTCTTTTGTTTTTAATGTTGATATTAATATTGAGAACTTGGAACATCCCAGATGGATGGTGGAATAACTGAGACCATCCCCGAAAAGGATAGTGGATGGTGGCCTGTGGGAAAAGGTTATTACCGTTAGGCGATTGGTTTGGTTTTTTACATTACATCCGTTTTAAGTGCGCAATAATTTTTTTGACTTCACAGTCCTTCTTATTCCCCCCTCAAATGATATATCGATAGTCGAAACCGATCTGGCACAATTTAAAAACATTCGAAACTATCGATAGTACCTTCCTTGTTTTTTCAGCCCTATTTTAAGTTGTTCATCACATAAAAACAACAAAGCTAATAATCAAAAGTGCTACGCTTGTCACGAAGCGGCGCTGATAGCAGCTGCGAGCGTCAGTCCACTTACAGCAAAGAACCGAAGCGCTGTGTTCTGAAGTTAGTAGTAACGCAACGCTGGCAAGCCCAAGACGACAACGATGTCCACTAATTGGCGTGAATTGTTCCCCACTCGACTAACATTCATCATATTTCTGCTGTATATGTCACTTTTCATAGGACAGGGTACGTGGCCCAATTGCACATATTAGCCAAAGCCATCGGTTAAGTTTGTGCATCTGTCTTCCGCAGGCATCTTCGTCACAGCATCCCAGGAGTCCAACAACTCGTACGGCTATAACACTGTAACCGTTGTACTACTGACGGAAGTGTTCAAGCTAATAGTTTCCACATGCCTGTATTGCAGAGAGTGAGTACTGTGTGATAAGAGACTTGAAGCCAGCTTCAATTTATCTTGATATTCTTCCCGCAGCAACAATCTTCGTTCTCTGGTGCGCGATGTGCACAAAGACAGGAATGTGCTGGCCTTGTACATGGTGCCCGCATTCCTATACTGCTTCTACAACAATCTCGCTTTCGTCAATCTAGCCACGTTCGATCCCACAACGTATTATCTACTGCTACAGCTGCGCGTTGTCGTGACGGGCATTCTGTTTCAAATCATATTCAAGAAGTATTTATCTCAACGCCAATGGATATCTCTGATACTGCTCACCCTTGGCTGCATGCTCAAGCAGGTGGATTTTAGTGGCTTTTACAGCGATGCCAACGACGATAGCGAGTCTGCTGCCATACAGGCCATACCATCCAACAGCAACCACACCGTTGATCATCACCAAGTGCATGGAAAAAACATGTCAGGCTTTGATTTCAGCCTAAGTGCTGTTTTCATACTGGCCCAGACGATATGTTCCTGTCTTGCGGGGGTCTACAACGAATACCTACTAAAGGACAAGGGTGCAGATGTCAACATTTTCGTCCAGAATGTGTTTATGTACCTTGACTCGATTGTTTGCAATGCGGGGATCCTTCTGCTGCGTGGCGAGCTTCTGGACGCCTTCAGCCCACAAAACTTGGGCACCATTATGCGCTTCAGTGTCATCATCATCATTGTGAACAATGCAGCCATTGGCATTGTAACGAGCTTCTTCCTGAAGTACATGAACTCAATTCTAAAGACTTTTGCCAGCGCCCTGGAGCTACTTTTCACGGCCGTGCTATGCTATTTTCTGTTCTCCATACCCATCTACATGAACACCGCGCTGGCCATAGCGGTTGTCTCCTATGCCATCTATTTGTATACCCAAAGTCCGGTTGTAAATCTGGGCAAGGTTCGTCCATTGTCAAGTCTGAGCGAGGCATCCTCCAAGTCTACAGCCTACGACAAACGAAAGCTTCTCGACGAGGAGGGTGACACCGATCTGGAAATGGACATGGTGTAGTGCTAATAGCTAGTCCTAGACATAGGCTTAAATTGTAAATATCATCATCTAAGTTCTTGTGGAAAAGTGCCTAACAACTGTTCTGAACGGGCGTGAGCATGCAGTTGACTCTAGGCTTTGTGCAATCGACGCAGATTCAATAAACGACGGACAGACGATGCCTGTGCTTGTAAATACCAAAACATTTGCTTTATTGAGTAAGGTTCATAATAAACATAATAAATCAAAATGTGATTTGAATGATATGATCACAAAGAATGGTTCAAATTTCATATGTTCATACACAGTATGTTCTTTACTTTCTTAATTAATGCATCAGACATATTTTGGTGAAAAAATATACTAACATTAGTCAACATTAGCTGTTCTTCGATAAATTGTACATGGATTGTACGTTTGTTTCTTAAATGATTAAATAATAACAATATTCTCTTCATAAGGCTTCATATTTGAACAAAGTATGAGCGATTCTAAGGTAGTGCACAAGAGGCAAATCATAGCAAGATTAAAGTATTAACAATATGTTGTATTGTTCTTCAAGAAGGGTCTAGATGTACGTGTCTTATATGATGTAAGTGTGTACAATGTTGACTTGAACATTGTGTTTTATACAGCATCTTCATCGGTAAAAAAGGGGTTTGCGCGTACCGAAATTGCCATTTGAAACGTATTATTCTCAGTAAATTTGATGTAGTCCTCACATTCTTTCAGGTGCTCTTCCATGTCGAGCACGCGGTGTATGGCATTATATTTGCAAGTGTACAGGGGTGGCCCGTGGTAATTTTGCATACATTTGACAATATGACCCGGCATGCGGAATAGCATGATGCGATGGTCTTTATTATACGGGCAAGTGCCGAATGAATAGTTAGACATTTTGAACACTGGAAGGGTCAAAAATAAGACGTATTTGATGTAAATTAGCGATTAATTGATCTCCTTACCAAAAATTGAAAGTGCCGCTATAATTGTGGTAGAGATGACAGAAACGAAAGGAGTATTATGCTATCGATAGTAGTCGATGCTAGCGCAGTGTCTTGCTGAAACATTAGTGGTACTCTACCAATGAATATTTTGTATTTGCTGTTGCGTCAATTTAAAAAAATGCGTGTCTTTCGATTAATTTTCAGCATTCCCGCTTAAAGCCTACTACTCGTCCGGGGATATGCAGCATGACAACCTGCGCGGCTTTCCATGCTTTGGCGAAGTGACCCAACCTAAGCTTCTAGGCTTCAAGTAAACTTGGTTCACTAATCACTCGTGATTTATGTGACAGAATGAGCAACTGCATACCTTGGGAAAATGGATTTTATAGAATTGAGGCAATGTTTATAATCTCATGCTCCAATGAGTGTAGAAACTACTCAGTCTCTGTAATGGGTACCAATAATAGGTATAAATGCATATACAAAATACAAATCAAATGCATTAATAGTTAAAGAACATGCCAATCTACAAAAAAGTCCTTATTAATATTTTTACTCATTTCAGCTGAAGGAATCGTGTTAATATTATTTTTAAGTTAAAAGTATGAATGGATCTGCAAGAAAAATATACAAACAGTACTATTTTCGCGGCTTAATTGAAGGTTTTTCACTATTTAAATAGAGAGGGGTCAAGTGGGCTAAGTTCGTTTTTTCTACGGTATATCTACGGTATATTTCTGAGGGTCAGGCGGTATGTTTTGTCGATACTTCCGCGGTCACACTGGTTGTTTTTTCCAATCTAGAAAAAAATTTGTAAAAACATTTTAAAAAACATTTAAAATGGCTCGTACTAAGCAAACAGCTCGTAAGTCGACGGGAGGCAAGGCTCCACGCAAGCAGTTGGCCACCAAGGCTGCCCGTAAATCCGCCCCATCGACTGGCGGCGTAAAGAAGCCACATCGCTACCGCCCAGGTACTGTTGCCCTGCGTGAGATCCGTCGCTACCAGAAGAGTACCGAGCTGCTCATTCGCAAGCTTCCATTCCAACGCTTGGTGCGTGAAATAGCCCAGGATTTCAAAACCGATTTGCGTTTCCAGTCTGCTGCCATTGGCGCCTTGCAGGTAAGGAAATGTCTGGACGGGATTGTGGGGATTTCATCAAATCATGTAACACCGCCATTCGCAATTGCAGGAGGCTTCCGAAGCGTACTTGGTGGGCTTGTTCGAAGACACCAACTTATGCGCCATCCACGCCAAGCGGGTTACAATCATGCCAAAAGACATTCAGCTGGCCAGGCGTATTCGGGGCGAGCGCGCCTAAATGCGGCATCCGCCATTTTTGATCAGAAATGCGGTGGCGGCGACGACAAAGGTAGAAGAAAGAAACACAGTCCTGGCCGCCGATGCCGCATAGTAGTTCTATGAGTTTGTTTAAGATATGTCAATACTTATCTATAAGTAAAGATCGGAAGGAGAAATAAAGAGAAATGCGCGGTTTTTTTTTTGTGAAAAACTGCTCCAAATAAAAATCAGTTTATTTCTTAGTTGGATGGGGTGGGGGAAGATGAGGAGAGATAAATCAAACATTTATTTAAAGACTATGGTGTCCAGCATGGCTCCTAGACACTGCACAATATTATTTTGCATGACCTTGTCCACCTTCTCCTCCAAATGCCGTTTGGGATCCTGCTTGCCCACATTCTTGATCGCCAGCTGTTCCGGAGTCATTTTCTCTTCGTCTTCAAGGGACTGAAAGCGATAGAAAGAGAAAATTATATACTAACTGAATGCTACATTGGTCACATGGTAGAACCGGTGCCCACCTTGTTGTAGTTCTTGGCCAGATCGAGCATCTCGGCGACAGTATCCTCGTTTATGGAGCAATGCTCGTTGTAGTCTGAAAGTGTGAGACCATCCTTCCACGACTTTTTGTGCAAGTTCAAGAGCATCTTCTGCTCCAGTTCGTTCTTGCGATAGTTGATGCTAATTGAATAGTAGTGACGGTTAAGTCCGTGTATCAGTGCCTGAACGGAAGGCTTCTGCAAATGTCCAAGATTGGAGGTGGTCTGGCGCGGCTCCTGGCCAAGCACCAGCATATTCGGGTTTATTAGGCGGAATGCATCAATGACCACTTTGCCCTTTACGGACTGTATGGGATCGACGACGACGGCCACGGCGCGCTCGGAGAGCGCCTCGAAGGACTGCTGCGTATTTATGTCCACCCCAGACAACCAGCAGCCGAAGCCAGGATGCGAGTGATACCATCCCACAACCATCTCCGGGCGGCCAGTCTGTTTCAGCATGTCCAGCATCTTGGCCTGGAAAACAGGATCCACAGCTTCCACGGAAACTCCGGTGCCAGTCTGGGGCATGGCAAACACATCAATGACCTGCACAGTGTAGTCGTCCACGAACTCGCCCAGCATCAGACCCATCACTTCCATGGGGACACCAGCGCGACCGTGCTTCAGCATTTTCAACAGCGCCAGCGAAGAGATGTACACCTGTTCGGCGGTGTCCACGACGGGAGCATCTGTTGGTGGAGCGGCTTGTGGCATAGCGCCACCGAGACGAAGCAAACGGTCCATAATACGGCTGTTGATTCGACAAAATATGAGTGTAATGACAGTAAATTTATGATGATTCACGTCGCTTACCTTTAAAGTTTGAGAATAATTTATATTTTAAAGGTAACCTTCTTTTATTTCTACGTGAAATTTGCCAACAAACACAAAAGCAACTCGTTCTTTTTGTAAAAATGCAAGTAATAGTAGGAACTAGAGTTGTCAAACCATCGAGGGCACTATCGATAGTATCGATATTTTACTGGTGGCCTCTACTATCGACGGTTTTGAGACTATCATGATAGTATCGAGTTACAGTCGTTGCGCTTTTGATATGTTTGCATTGGCTGCTATAAAATATGAAGACAAATTTGTAAACAAATCGACAGGTGGCATCTAATTTTTACAATGGACAAGTTCCTAAAAGGTTTCCATGGTTTTTTAATAATTATTTCAGCCCGATACTATCACGATAGTATCGATTGTTTTTTCAAAACATAATATTACCAGCTAGCTGGGACTCTCAGCCCGATAGATACATACTTTCAGAAGTCCTTTTTATTGGATATTGACGCAACAATGAATCTTTATTCCATACGCGTTCCCGTAAAATACATTTGATTTTGTATGGGAAAAATCTCAGCAACATGCTGCCACACCACGAAAATGAGGGGAAAGTCTCCACAAAAACATTCTATTCTCCACTGAAAAGAGAGCACTCTCCACGAATTGAGAGCAAATTTTGAAAACTCTCCACGAATTGAGAGCGAGTTTTGCAAACTCTCCACGAATTGAAAGCGAGTTTTGCAAACTCTCCACGAATTGAGAGCGAAAAATGTCAGTATTTTTGGTGCGCTAAATTGAGTTTGGCGGTCAATTTAAAAATACATTTAATATACCTTAAAAAATAGATTGGAGCTTGATTAAATATATTTTTACATAGTGGTATACCGTAAATATACTTTGAACTCGTTTTCGACGTCAAAATATCCCGTTGAGTGTATTATATATATATAATATATACGGTAATCTGTCAACCTGCCAACATCTGACAGTGCCAGCGAACGCAGGCCAGCACTCGATAGAAACATCGATATAAATATCGTAAAAAAATATATGTAAAGTTGGCGCGCATTTCAAATGTCGTTATACATTTATGTGCTTTGTGCTGAATTTACCCGAATAATGAATATTATTTGTAATCCGCTGTGAGCACACGATGTTTCTGGGCGATAATGTTGTACTGGCACCTCGAAGTGCTTTATCGGCGGGCCATCAAAACATTTAAAATCAGAAAGTGATGGAAAATCGTAATAATTTCAATTCAAGTGCATATTGAGTGAATGCTGGCGTTGCACCTCGTTGCAAGCAAACTTTCCGCAACGCAAGACCAAACACGTCAAAATTTATGCACCATCGTGGGCCGCCCGTCAAATGCCATGAGAAATACTCGTAGAGACCCAGTAATGAGGTCGCCAGCAAGACAACGATTAAAAGTTAGTACAATGCATTGCCTTCTTTATTGTGCCAATTAATTGCACAAAACATTTTGATTTTCCGTTGCCTTTCACCCAGAGCCCAGCTCCATTCATAGTGCTTGAATAGATATTCCCAGACGCCCGAAAAATCATTTAAAATGCCATCACCGGGCGGCAAAGTCAAAGGTGGCCGCAGATCGAGCACCGGCACAGCCTCAGACCGGCTTCGGGTCTGCTTTATGATTGCAACATTGCTACTCCATTTTCCGTCTCGCTTTGGTAATTTAACAATAGCTTTTCCACCTGCCGACAGCATTTTCCATTTGCCTCTGAGCTGCTCTGCTCCGTGGTGGCTTTTCAGTTGCATTTTGTCGCTCGCCCTCAGCACGCGTTTGGTTTTTTCTATTTCACTATTTCGATTTGGTTTTACTTAGCCAACAGTTCTGTGTTTGTATTTTAAAAGTTGTTAAGAGCTTGTGCAACCCATTTTATGTAAATTGCGTGTAAATATTTCAGTTTCAAGCGAATCGAAATAAGGTATATTAAGGTACAAGTTCTGCTCTCTGTAAGGTGGCAAATTTCAGCTAAGTTGTTATTTCGTTATTCGTTGTTTATTTCGTTGGTGGTTCTTATCAGAATCGAAACACGGCCGCAAATTGTTTTTGTTGATAAGTGAGCGGCAAAGGTTTGCTCAGAGAACTACGGGTAGTCGGGAGCTTTTTTCGGGGAGTATCTCGGGGTGCTGATGATTACAGTCGAGCTTCCCTAGTACAAACCATCTAAACACGTATGAAGATTGTCGGAAAAAGATGAAATCAAAGCGCTATCGCTATAAAAAATCGATTTGGAAAGTTTGCACCGTTTATCATTCAATAAATAACTTCACATCTGACCACTGAAACGATATCAGTGACCTTGTCGTCATAAAAGTTAATCCAGTTCAATGAAATGCTGTTAAATGCATTCAATCTCATTAATGACATGCCACTACAAAAGACGTGCAAAAAAACTGAAACAAATTGAAGCTGAAAAAAATGAAAGAAAAAACACGTTTGTTCAGCTGTGAAATTGACCTTTTATGGCCCCAGAAAACCCAAACCTCCAAATAAGAAAAGTTTACTTTGGACTGCCTCCACACTTGTGTTGTTGTTGGTGTTGGTCGTATGTTTAAAAGAAATGAGCGGAAATACATTACAGTGATAGTCGCTCTAATTGCCAGAGAAAGAGAAAGACAGAGAAGAGGCAATAATAAGGGTCAACTGGGTAAAACATTTTTTTGGTATTTGTAAACTGTTATTTCGTACAGAGATACGTTTGGTGGTTTCATGGAACACTTCAATGAAACTTCTGTCTAATAAAGGCTTCAATTAAAGGGTAGATTTGGAATAATTAATATCATCGAAATTAGAAAATAGAATTCTCTTATTATCACAGATATGAAGATATTGGGCTTTTATTGTTTTTTTTTTATTTTTTTCCCATTGTATTCCCAGATTACAGTCCCGGCAATGCTGTCTGTAGTCCTAAAAGGACTATATTTAAGGATAAATTGGCTAAATATAGTTAGATCGACTTTGATTGTTGTCATCACCGGGACATATCAACTATCTGATCATATATACTCGTACATATGTACATAAATGTGCACATATATACATACATATGTACAAGAAGTGTCAAATGTGTACGCAACTGTTTCAGCTTTCTGCCAACTCGAAAGCTCTGGGTTGTATGGTGTAACTAGAACCCGTGGTAAGGTAGACCCAGCCAGATGCACAACCACAACCACAACCACAAAAGTGAAAAAGATCTTCAACACAAATTTCGTAATAACTTCCAGAAAAATAATGAATTAATGCAAAAATGGGAGCACCGAACTGTCTATACCCTTAAAATTTAAACATTTAATACATTAAATTTTCTGTACAATTCGAATTAGTTAGAGTTTTAGTTTGGAAGATTCTACTGAAGGGAACTAAATTTTGGGTGTCAGTTTTATTGTACGAGCATGATAAGGTTAAATGGATAAAATGCATATAACAGACGTGGCTGGTAGGTTGATTCGGATGGACATTAAATTCAACAGTATACTCCTACATATGTACATATGTACATAGTATGTATACAAATTGTATCGGAAATTACAAACATCATAGAAAAACTTGAGACCCTCTGGAAGGGAACAGAAACCGAAATAAAAACTGAGAGTTGCATGTCTGGGAAACTGCTTTAATTTCAATTTCATTTTAGATCTGGCCAGCAAATCAGTGCAATTGCTGGATGGATAGGTAAGGAAGGTGCATAGAAAGGGGTAAATAATAATTAATTGTTGGCTGAAGAAAGTTTTAATTAGCGGACGGGCATTTAAGATAATGAAGACGTTTATGTGGAGCATTCAATTATAAAATTGCTCAATTTTGGAAAGTGCAACAAATCAGGGGGAATTAATTCAAGCTCGATTTGCATTCGGTTAATTTTTGCATTTCACTTTCAGTCGATGACGACACTGCTGTCCATGGAGACGTCATCGCCAGCATCCGAGCAGCGGGAACCGGAGGAGGAGGACTCCCACTCGACATCTACAACCCCCACACGAATTCCCCATCCTGCGACCAGCGAGGCGGTTTCATTCCGCCGTTCCGCCTCCCTGCGCCTGCGCGGGACCAAAGAGCAGCTTGGCGCGGATGCGATGCGGCCTGCCGGCGGAGGTGGATTCAGTACGCGCGCCAAGCTCGGAGCCAATCCATCATCCACGTTCAGCTCGCGCTCCGGTCCTATCCACTTGAGGCGTAATCGCAGCTGGAGCAATTTAGGCCACAAAACGTCGTCCAAGCAGGAAGCGGATGCAGTCCATGCATTATGCAGCGCAACCCAGTGCCTGTCCCTAGCCCAGGAGGAGTCCACTGACGTCCCGGACACCTTGGAAATGGCCAACAACATGACCAGCAGCAGGCCGCGTAATATGGTAAGCTGTGGGTGGTTCGGTTTAATATTGATTTTCGCTTGCCGCTGCTGACCTATGTAGCGTACAGAGAACCTCCCTGTCGAGGACGGTGTAACACGCATTCGTAGTTGAAAGTAAAATGTATATTACGAAACTTCCTGAGGGAAGACGCTTTGTCATAATTAAAGTGGGACAGATAACGTATCCAAATCCTTATGTATTCAACCGTTTTACAAATGTATGGCAATAATGTACAGCTTACCGTAGGCGAAGCAGTTCTTGCCCAGCACATCCAACCGTTTTCCTTTTCCAGTAAATAGCGCGAGCGAATGAAGGAGCCAAAAATGCAGGCCCTTAGGCCTTTGCATAATTCTTGGTGGGGGGGAACCAAAGAAAAACCCAAACAAATAGTGGACTTAAAACCACCACCACCCAATAGGTGGACATACATATGTATGTATGTATGTTTCGTTTCTACTTCCGCCTGTTCCGGGCCAAAGGAAACAGCTGATTCTATGGGGTTTGTTTGTGCTTGTTCTTGTGCTGCTTTTGCGGGGGAAATGCAAGTGCGCAGCCCCACTCTCTCTCTCCCTCTTCCACTCTTAAGCGCCTGGTGCTGTTGTTGCTTTGCTGCTTCTCTTTGGTGTCTTCTTCGTCTGCTTTTCGTGCTCCCCTTTTGCCATGTGCCCAAGTGATTTGCGTTTCAGTTGCTTTTTTCGACCGAACGCGTGCACAAGATTCGCGGTTGGCAGAGCTGTCTCTTTCTCTATCTCTCTACCCCCTCGGCCCTGTTACTGCGTAAAGTTTAAATATTTACAGTGCGTGCAAGTGAGGCCTTCAGGTTATTGCTTCTCTGCTCAAAACCGAAGAACAGAACCCCGAAGTACAGTGAAAACCCCTTTAATTGAAGGCAACGGCAATATTTAAGCGTCGCGGCCATGGCTTATAAATGGTAATTACCTGCATGAAGGCTCTCTGTATAATTTTAGCCACAATTAAAGCTGAAGTTCGTTGGCCCTTTTGCTTCTTGTATTAATAATTTCTATTGATTTGATACTTAATTGTGTGTAAGAACCAGAAATGTTCTAGTGTAATGTGTGTTGTTATAGGGAAGGATGGAAAGAAGGAAAGAACGGGGGTGGAAAAACAATTATCTGGCCATAGAGATGGTATGGTACCATGTGGAAAATAAATTTAAATATCTAATCGGAGAGGATGCTGCCACTCATTCAGTATTTTCAAACTACTAACTACATACACTTTTTTTTAGCACTTTATGTACATACAAAAAGTGTATCATCCGCCACAGCAATCAAGGACGATTTACGGGAAAATATTCTTTGGAAAATATAAATTTTACAAGGGGGCGCAAAAGAAAATAGAACACAACGTTCCTTCCTCCTTTCTGACCCTGAAAAGTATGCCAAGCTTCTGCGTCCTTTTGTATTGCACCGAAAACATTGCCAAATTATATTCCTGCCGTTTAGAAACAACATTCAAAGAAATAAATATCAAAATCATGATTGAAATAATGGATAAAAATAATAGAAAATATAATAAAAACTGACCAGTGATCGAGGCGATTAGCGGGTTTCGGAGGACTCTAGCTCCCAAAAACTGGATACTTGCTTTAATTTTTTGTTTCAGTGTAGCCGAAAAGTGATTGTCAGCACGTGACCAGAACAGTGGGACTTGGCTGACAGCCAAGTGGGTTAGAATGGCCATTACATGGCACAGTCCTGGCACTTACCTGCATTGTCAAACCTCTCCATTCCCATCACCTTCTTGGTTTGCATCAAAGTCATTGATTTTTCATAGTCAGCAGGTTAATTGATGGCACCTGTGCACCGTATAAGCCAAGCTATATGCTTGCTCGCGACTGTGGAAAATTCTTAAATTTATATTAAGTAGAAGACCCGACTCGAGTGCGTAATGTAACCGCTTCTGGCTGGCGGCTTGTTATGACATGAACACAAACAACACCCGTGTGTTGGCCCATTGCACAGCCATCCCTCTCTTTCTCTTTTAGTATTGCTTAAACTATTGTGTGGCCGTGCGTAAAGAGTTTACGCTTTGCTTAAAGTTTCAGAAATGTTTCCCAGAACTAGAGCCACTAAATGGAGCAAAAAACTCATTAATGGTTAGGTAATATACATACATACCATATGCTGTACGAGCATTTTATATGTATATGCACATGTCTATGTACTTAAGTATAGTACGTGCTAAGCCCCCTCAATCTTCAACTAGAAATAAAAGGGGAAAGTTAAACTGATTTGTCAGATTCTTTTCCCCATTCTGCTTTGCATTCAACATCTCTGTCACCGTCTCGATTTCAGTCAACCAATTGATGAGTTGGCCGTTTTGCGAGTGGTCAGCGGTGCAAGTGGGTCAGCGGTTCTTGAATCACTTTACAACGGGGACTGCACTTGCAGGGTCAATGAACTGCTGGCTCCAATCACAGCTAGATTGATTTGGGTAAACAATTGTTTATTTACCATGAATATTGCCACTTAAGGAGGTGACTAGATCTCAGTAAAAAAGTCCTAGGCTTCCGCGCTACGACCAGGAACTCTTTTCTAAAACACTTAATTTCTGAGGATAATCTAAACAAGATTTTAATCTTTTTGTTTAATAAGCCTTTTCACTGTCCTGCGAAACTAAAGCTTATTTATATATTACAGTCAAGTCAAAGTTCTAAGCGACTCAAACATTCTTTTATTTGAAATCAAACAAAGGTATTTACATATATCTACGAAGAAAGGCTTTCTTTGCTCTCTTTTTGCCAAAGTGTTTAGAATTAAATGAGCTCAGGAAAACCGTAAAATGTACAAATACAATTTTGCATAATTTGTCAGACCTAGTCGGTTAATCGGGCAGCCGAGACTGAAGTTATCTTGGTAGTCAGACCAGGGCCCAGGGGCTAACTAGCTAAACCCAAATGCTAAATACCCCCTTGGAGCTGGACTAATGAGCGGCTAATTGACCACAAAAATGCTGCTGACCGACCAGATGGAGGAACTTGAGAGGGACCAGAAACCCGGAGCTCCGCAATGAAAGTAAGCAAAGCGAATACGGACAGATAATGCTTTGTTAAATGTCTGGCAACAAATTGGTTTTCGGGGCGTTAAAAATTCGAATTGGTTTCCATGTTTTCTACTTTTTATTGCAAAAATGTATGAAATCCATGCACGACTAAGCAGCAGCAGCCGCGCAACAAAATTAGAAAATAACTAAAGAAAAAAGCTGAAGAAAAGGGGAAAGAAATAGTGTAAGAAAAAGAAGGCAGCCACAACAACGAGCAGTGGATCTGTGCGAAAGATCTCTGCCAGTCTAGTTCAGATCGGTCTCTACAGCGCAAGCTATTCCTCCATCTTGCAGTCTCTCAAGTTAAACGGCGGCAGTGACAGCAGAAGTAGGACCAACCCCAAGACGACGCCACTGAACACACCATCACCAGCGGGAGCGGCGGCGGCGGCACACAGCTGCATTCGCCAGGGAAACTGCATAAAGGCGGCGGTCGGCACTGGCACTGCACCCTCATCTAAATTGTCCACGCTGCACGAGAGTAAGGTATCCCCAAAGACGCCACCAGTGACCCCAGACTCGCCCAGCACCTATCTGGATGATGATCTAGACTCGATGTACTCCTTTGCCACCACCACCTCGGGACGTTCGACCATGTCCTGCGAGCATCCTTATGTGGCCAGGTAGGTGTTGCACCTCTAATACGGGTACATGTTAATCGAATCGTCTCCTAATCTCTGCTCTCCGACTCTTTTAAGGAATGGCACCACTTTCAGTGGTCGCAAGATGAAGTATGTGGTGCACTGCTCCAACTACGCGGGGCAGGTGGGACCCGACTATCTGACGCCCACGCAACGGGCCCAGCGGCAAGTGCGTCGCCTCAAGGAGCTGCTGTGCATAGCGCGCCAGGATCTTGAGCAGAAGGACACTGAGATATTGCGTCTCACACGGGAAGTGGTCGAACTGCGTCTCTTCAAGGCGTCTCTCAGTTCCCCCGAGGAACGTTCCGCCTCATCCGATGCGGTGACTGTACGCGAAGCGGAGCTTAAGACTTCCCAGGATGTCTCGCCTATTGTGGATATGGTGGACGAGGGCAATGACAAGTGCAGTCCCCGGCATCTGGTGCGCCACCAGCAGCAGCAACTGTCGGCTATGCAGATGTCCGCTGAGATGCAAAGCTCGTATGCGGACTCGGGACACTTCGAGGACCTCACCATGTCCTCAGTCCACTCCAAGGACTCGCAGACCCAGAGCGAGGTCTGTGGCACGGCCACGCCCGATGCGGGGCCAGAGGCAGCCTGTGGGGGCGAAGATGCGACCAGTAGCCTCGAGAACTACGAGTTGCAGCGACAGGAGCTGATTCGCATGTACGAGCACCGGATCGAGGAGCTGATACGCAGCCAGGACGGTGCCAACAGCGACCTGAAGCGCAGCCACAACGACAAGGTGGAGGCACTGCTGCAGAAGCTGGCCGAATGCAACACACGATACTCGGACATGGTGCCCGACTACGAGCAGGCGAAACAGCGCATCCGGGAGCTCGAAAAGCAGCTAGAGGACCTGCAACGGAAGCTGGTCGAGCACGAAGACAAGCAGAACAAGATGTACCTGCACATGTACCAGCAGGGACAGGAATCAGAGCGCATCTCTCGCGCCGATCAGGTACGGTACAGTTGTGCTTGTTGTTCGAGCATTTACCTGCCATCGTGTTTCATTCCACCCGTTCCGTTTCAGGCACTCGAACTGGCCCAGAGGCAACCGGAGAGCAAGGTGTCGATCAACGAACTGCTGCACCAGCTCCAGAGCACCCAGGACGAATTGGAGAACATACGCGTAAGATTCTTCAATATATTCCTCATCCTCTTTTCGGTTTTGTTTTGTGTGTTGCATTTTGTTGCATCGTGAGCCGCCACAACACCACAACACATTAAAAACAGCATTCGCTTCACTTCTCCACATCTGTATGTCTGTGTGCGCATTCGGTTGGGGCGTGGCACTTCAATTTGGCGCTTTGCCTGGCTGTAAAAGCTGCAACTAATTGAAATGTCCGCCAATCGATTAAGCAATAAACAAAATAAGCAACACTTTCGATTGATTTCGTTTTTAGCTGTTAAGTACCATTTGCATAATCAATTAATTATTATCCACAACACATTTAAACACATTACATTAAAAGCAACGTTTATTTTCAATTCGTTTCTTTTGTTTCATTTACATTTACATTTGCATTCCGTTGCGAGTTCAAGTACCGTAGAATAAGTACAGTTCACGTAGATCGGAGTGGAGAACATAATGTGCATGGCAGTAAAAAGTACAGTTAACCGTTCGTTGTTTTTTTTTCAATTTAGCGACTGTTTGCCGGTCCTAAAAATGTACCCCTTTGTAGTTATTCTTTACCAATTAATCAACTTTGTTTTTATCCTTACAAAAAAGAAAAAAAAAACATTAAAATTCTAAATATTTGTCATACAAAACCAAAACCCAAACTATTTTTGTAGGCATCAGAGTGTAGAATGAGGGAGTGCGGCAGTAATCAAGCTCTCCTTACGGCAAAGGAGGCGATTTCTTTGTGGGTTCTTGGCGCGCGTAAGGTTTGTAATAACAACAACAAAAATTTCCCCCCTTCCTGAAAAATCTGCCCAACTAACTGTTGATTTTATTTTTAAAAAATTACATTAAAAAAAAACGGTATTTAGTTGCAATTTATGATTTAATCAAGCACATTGGCTATATCGAACATTGGGTTTTATCATCCACAAAACCCTTCCATCCAAAACGTCTCGAAACTAACCAAACCAACATTCATTTGTCAACTTTTGCGCCGTCATTTCTGGGCAAGGGTAAGGTTTTTGGGCTGGTAACTTCAAATCTGTTTCCACGGGAACATATTGATAATTTGCTAAAATTATTGTAAGATTTGTTTTGTAAGTACATTCTGTTGATTCCAAAACCAAACCAAACAAATCTGTTCTATCGACTAGAGGTATGTGTAACACCATTAATACATCATGACACACAAGGCTAGATGACTTTCAAAAACAGAACAAACACACAAAAATAAAGAAATTCTCTAAATTAGCTCCATTTAGCATGTGGTCCATCCAAAGTTTTGTCTTCAGTAATCTCGTAAACCATTAAACGAAACTATAATTCCGATTCAACTTTTGCCCAAAAGAAACATTATCCCCTCAACTATATATTCAGTGTTACATACATACATACATAGCATAACCTAAATGTTCATATGGCATAGCACCATCAATGATAATTTAACGAAATTAACCAATTGTAAATACATTTCTTCGTACCTTACCTTACAAATAATCTTATCAACATCAAACTTATTTCATCTTCTTCTTGCACTCTCTCTTTCTGACTAACCCAACTTATCCGAAACATGAAAAAACAAACTAAATTTACACAGACCATTTATCGACGCTTGCTGGAGGCACAGAAGAATCGCACCCATGTGGACCCGGAGGTTACTCTGCAGTTCCTGAAAAGCGCCATCTTCTATTTCCTCACGGACAAGGAGAACTCGCAGGGCCATCTGCAGGCCATCGAGAGCATACTCGAGTTCACCGACGAGGAGAAGCAGAAGATCAGTTTGGCACGTCTTGCCTAAGCACTTATTGTTATAATTATGGTAGAGATAACTGGCACGAGAAAGTCTGTAAAACGATGTTTCATTTTTTAGTGTACGGCTAAATATCATTGTTTTTTGTCGATTGGTTTACGAATTTATTTGCAATTTTATTTATGTAAGTGAATAATTTTGATAAATTAAGTGGTACAACAATATATTCTATTTGACAACGATTTTAAATTTGTCTTAGTTAGTTATATATATATAATTTCCATAATAAGGCTTAAGGCATACAAAAACGTCCTTTATAAAAAAAAGAAAACAGAAATGACGATGAAAATATAATTTTACAAAATGTAGGTACTTTTTGTAGATGTAGTTAATCAAATGAGAGTAAGTACTAAACAACACCATATACTACTATAATATATATAGTATAGTATAGCTTTCGTTGTGTTTCAGCGGATTTTAAATGGCAAATAAATGCAATAGTTGAAAATTTGAGTTATTCCATGCGGGTGGTTAAACATTTTGTAACAGGTTATGGGCACCCTTGAAAAATCCGCTAAACCTAAAAAAATATGAAAGAAAACCACCACAAATAAAGAGAAAATGAAATTTTTTGTTATTTAAGGACCTTTACTGACAAAAAGAACAAAAATATATGACACGTTTTTACATTACTCATCACAATCAGAATCGCAATGCTTGCATGTGAAGTAGCTGGCACGCATATCAGCGCACTTTAAATGCACCGGACGACTGACTACATTCCCGGCATTTAATGGAGTTTGCGGCGGTTAATTTCCTTGGCAGAAGGTGCAGACAGATGAGACAGAACTCCTTATCATCGTCAGATGATAGAGCCTTGGTGCGCTTAGCTAATGGTTTAGTCAGAGTTTCCTTGGTGAGCTTAGTGGATGGTTTGGCTAGTGTTGCCTTGCGTCCTCGCTTTTTCTGGGGAGAAACAGATGCCTGCATATCTGATAGCTTCGAATCTTTCATAGCTGATTTTTCCTTCATAGAAGCAATGCATTCAGGAAAAGTAAGCAAGGAGCTTTGCATCGGCTTTCGACCACGATTCGAAGACTTCTTAGGTGTAGCCGCTCTCAAAGGATCAATTTCTTCCGAAAGTGATAGGCAGCTCGTTGAAGATGTCGATGGTTCTGGTGTGGTAAACACAACCTCCTGACGTACAAAATCTGATCCGCGCTGATCCTCTTCATCAACAGGAGCCTCACTCACATCAGTTTGCTCATCAGTTTGCAAAAAGTCATAGTCGCCGAATATGTCTGGATCGAATGGAGAGATTCCAGTAGCTCTGAAGCCGCGTTTGATGATTTTGGGTGTCAACAGATCTAGGGTCTCACATACCAAGCCAGCAATGTGACGAATTTCCAACACCTAGAACAACGAGGTGAAAATTAAAAAAATTAAAATTGATGGAGTCAAAAATCTTCTTTCGAACGACAAATCCTACCTTGTTAACATTATTTTTTTGCCAAGCGTCACACTCAGACTTGTAATAAGTCTTTAGCGGTCCGTAGATGGACACGTCTAATGGCTGCATTTTGTGACTGCAGTTTGGTGGGAAGGAGAGGATATGCACTCCATTGGCAACGGCAAAATCGATGGCTTCAATGGATAAATGTGACGAATTACCGTCGTCGAGAAGCAGCAAGATAGGAGAAGCTGGAGTAGGCTTAACACAGGCAACTAAATGTCGTATATATCGTTCCAACTCTGGCGCGCACATCCTGCCAGAACCGTTAGCAAAACCAACAGTTCCCGATGAGACATTGTCTAAGAAGCTGGTCTGCATCTCTTTTCTAGGAAAGAGAAAAAACGGTGGAATGCTGTTGCCAGTAGCATTTACGGTTAACGCTATTGTGATCATCGTTCGTCTTTCGGCGGCCTGAATCTTTCCGACATGGCGACATGTTGAAAAGCCTGACTCGTCCATATTATAGATATGAGTCGCTTCGAAGTGATGCTCGTCAAGCAACTGGCCAAAATTCCGGAAGAAGATGTCTACAGTTTTCTTACAAAAGGCTTTCACACGGTACTCCGTGTGTATGGAATTCTGTTTCGGTGAGCGCAAAGCGAGTTCAGAGTGCCGGCGTATGAAATTCGTATACCAATGACGACCAGCCATCTGATCTTTATCCCAATTTTCTGGGTAGTCAACCTCGAGTTTCTTCGCGAATTGGTAAGCCAATTTTCTAAGCTCATTGATGCTTTGGTTGACGCACTTCAAAATGTGTTGGACAAGGTCCTTTTCTTGAGCCGAAGAGAAAACCTTTACAAAAAGAAGTATGGTAAATAAAATTATGATGCGATACATTAGAAAAAGACAAACAATAAACTTACCATGTTTGATGGTGTACGTTGGCTGCAATTACGGACGAATTCAAACAAAACACTATCTTCCAAGGATGAAATTTCGCCAAACTGACCTGAAACTTTCTTTATATAGCGCATCAGACTACTCCGAGGAATTCCATATGCTTTAGCAGTCCCTTTGGCAGGATTCTTGTCCGCTAGGCAGCACTTGATGGCTTGCAACAGCGCATTGAAATCCATTTTTGGTTGATTAAATGATTTTTCCGGTGTTGACCAGGCTAACAACACGTAAAATGCATTAAAACAGTGACATTACGTTACGTTAACATAAACCACGTAATACGCAGTCTCTCAACCAAAAACACGCATTAAATAGCAAAAAAAAAAAACCAGAACCAAACCCACACCCGGTTACATGACGGTGTTCATAACCGGGAATGACAGCCATTTTTCAAAGAGACAAACATTTATGTGATGCCTAAACTTAAACACGACGATAAATTAAAAAATACAATGAAAACACTGTAAACAAAGTGAAATACTTACCTTTTCTTTGACAAAAATAAAAATCCCTTTCTTTTATTGATGGAAAACTATCTTTATTATATCAACAAGAAAACTGCGACTGAAAACAAACACAAACACGACTCACAATACTCAGATCATCATGTTTCTGCTTGCTGGTCCAAGCTTATGTAGGATTCTAATTAAGTCCCTAAAAAGAGGCTCAATATCATGCGTTCACAATGAAAAATAAAATAAATCATTGCATATGAACAGAATTAATATTTAATATTAATTTGTATCATTTCATTTTCATGAACAAATAAGTGTCGATTCCACGATTCCGTGTATTGTGTGAAATAAATTAAGTCCATTAAAAAGAGGCTCCCTTAGTTGATCATACCTGTATAGTTATAACATGCGCTCAAAATGAACGAGAGAACATGTTAACTTTTGTTTGAGAGAAGCTATGTCCCTCATATGGAGCTGAGTTAATACACCTAATATATTTATACCATGCGTATAAACAAAACGAGTCGAGAGAGCAAAGGGAATTTTCTCTTGCAACATTGCAAGCAGAATTGAACTACTATTGATACCCTTGAAAGACATATTGTAATATTTATTTTGGTTGGATTCAATTGATCATGACTAACACATTTTAGTTTATCCCGTTTGGAAAATTAAAATGAACATATTACTATTTTTATTATAATTTTCAAATCTAGTTTGTTCATTTTATGATATATGTATATTCATTTTAATCTCAGGTATAAAAAAAGGGTATAAAAACATATATTATGAACAGGTCCAGGAAACCGGTTGTTGCCAGCAACATGTTTCACGAACGTACTATACACACATGCATATAATTTAGTGCAGCGGCCCAGGAACCTCACCTCACCTTGTCGTTCACTTATATACCTTGATTTGCATGGTATGTAAAAAAGAGGTGAGCTCAGCCAGCAAGCGTTGCTTGTGGCTGGCTCGTTTTACCTGTTGCCCACACCTTTTTGTACATTCCTTTCTGAAATGACGCCTGCAGCGACGCCAGCGCCGGGGTGTACGTTGGGTAAAATGTAATGTGGTACGGTTTTTTGAATGAATTTGCTGCGCGCGGGTCTTCGATAAACAACGTGTTTGGGACACAACATAAGCGTACGTTCAAACCAAACACTATAAGAAATATATATATATCTTTTGGTGGTGTCGGGCGCCCAAAGAACGAAAAGTATGGTCAACAAGCCAGTAAAACACAATTGTTTACCAGAAGTTGTTCTCCTGAGCCAGTGTTCGTAGAGAAATTCATGTGAATCAAGTTGGAAACCGTGTGCGCGGTGTTTTTACGCGGCATCCGTCTGTAAAAATCGAAGGCACAACAAAACAATAATTGCGCAAAGAAGTGGTACAAAATAATCAAATAGAAGAATCACCCGCATGGCAGGGGGCAACAGGGTGTAACAAGTGATTAAAAGAGAGTTCTGAAAGTTTAAATAGATTCTCCTCCAAGCGAAAGTGAAGTTTAAGAGTGTTTTGCTGTTGATGTTTTTTGTTGAAACCGAATCCCCGTCGGTGTGTTTGTTGTGGTCGGTCTCCGGCAGCGGCAGCAGGCAGAGCTTATGCAAATGTGGAACGGGTATGATTATCGCAAAATAAAAAACTAGCAAGGGTTTGATAAATACAGCAACAAACTAGTTTATTTATTTGTTTTGTGCTCTTTCCGCGTGCCCTAGCAACTGCTGGGGAGGGTACCGTGCACTACATGGCTGGAATGTGTATTTTTAACAGTTTATAAACTTTAAATAAATTGTGGTTAGCTTAACAACAGATTTCGCGCTACCATTCTCCGATGGGTGGCCTTAGTTGCGGAAGGGGGGTGTGAAGAGCAAACAGCAATATCAACACGAGACAATATTTATAGTACCCTGTATATTGCGGAGTCTATATTGCGGATCTGCTATCCAAAACAGAGTATCAAGTTTGACGATTAAATTGCACAACTCCTTTGTCATGTTTATATAATCAGAAGGAATAGTCCACTTCCTGTATGTGTAGTCGTTAAGGACTAGAATTTATATACATATATAGTTTGACTGTGGGTACATGTTATGTTTAGGTCACCTTAAAATAAATCCCGGATAATGGGTATCATTTAGTCAGTCGAACTCATATATTATTCAAATTTCTCATGTTCTACATTGTGGTTCCTCTCTCTCTCTGTCTGTCACATTTTGTTTGCTTTGGTTTTACTTTCGGGCTACACTTAATCTTTGCACAAACACACACACACCGCATACCCTCTGCTCTGTCTGTTATCGTATTCTCTTTCGCTTGCAGTGTATTCAGCTGTTGAGCTATTTATACATTCATTAACGCATTCAGATCAATCCGAACAAGCCTCCTGTTCCCCCTTCATCAATTGGTTTTGGGAATTAGCACAGAAATAGAACAAAGCAACACAAATCAGCGTAAAAAGCATTTATTTATTTTCCCTATAGCGTAATAAGGGAAGCCCTACGCCTTTCTCCGGTGCATTGATCAGTCATCCATTGTTTTTGTTTGTTCTGCGATAAGGGTTAATTCGAACCGAATGCGAAGTTGACCCAGTAGCAGTCCCCGCTTTGAATTCTTACATACATAAATATGTCGTTTTATAATTTTAATTAGTCATGGTCAATAGAAACACGTGAGCGAGAGTTACAGTGGAAGATATGGATATACAATAAAAAGTCATATCAACAGATACTGCACTTACACTCTCCCAACATATGGCCACGGACTCACGGGTCTGTGGTTCGTTCTTGCCTGAGAAATTCAAACCTTGTCATTTGTTTAATATTTACATACTTGATATTACTACAGCGGAGTCAGGTGACAACTCAATCATTTTTAACGATGGGAAGTGACTTGCACTGGCTTGCACTTCGACGATAGATTTCTTGGGAGCAGGGTTTCCCTACTTTGAATATTGTTAGACCCAAAATCAAGGAACATACCACAGATAATTATATTGCTTAGGGTTAAGAATCAATGGGGGCATAAAAGAGCTTTAGAGCTAAAAAAAAAGCAATCGAGAAAACCAAATATATCAATTTATGTTTCGTCTGGTATATTGCTTAGAGTTTGTTTTTATAATTATTATATACAAATTTTGGATTCTGTAATTTACTGCATCTGCTTCTTGTCTGTGGCAGTCACCTGGCCGTCTGTCTCGGCTCTCATTATCACGATTTTGAAATTTATTTTCAATGAAATAAAATCTTTAATATGTTTATTAATATTTTAAAGATTCCAAATCTTAGGTCTGATCAAAATTGTTCGATAGCTTAATTTTTTTTTTATTAAAATTGACTTTTATCCGATCAAAGTATTTCAACTTTGATTTCAGCACTCTGGCTCGCCTGCTCTTTTCTATTTTTTTTTAATTGTTTAAAGAATCTTTGTTTGGATTTGCGGATGGCGAGCAGAGTGCTGATTTGAGTTGATTTTTGAGTATGAAGAATGTAAATGGGAATTTTAAGTTTAAAGAATTTATGTTCAAAGAACTGTACATGATTTTTTTTGTACATTTCCTTACGCTTTTATTACTTTAAAGATCGTACATTTTATGACTTTTGTTTCACCCCAGAATTCCGCTATTTCTAGAAGGATATTTGAGAGATTTCCTTCAACCAAACCTTATACATATTATAACACACAATTGATACGGTTCAGTGTTGGTTTCTTGCAGCGATATCAGTTATAATGGCTGATGTACATAACCCACAGCCAATTGTTTACCCATCGATTAATTGGAAAGAATGAGTGGAAAAGCCATTTAAGCTCTTACCTCCTATCGTTACTTTCCATTTTTATTTCTCAAAGTATCTTTTCTGATTATTTTTTGGCTATAAAACGAACAGAACTCAAATGTTGTTGCAATTAGTTTATGTTGTGCCTTGTGCAACCTCGAAAAAGTTCTCCCAAAACTTTTTCACTGTCAGTGCTTAAAAGTCGTTTACCTTCCCAAGTGGCCCCGCTACACGTAGTTCTCATCAACGACTAGGTTTCTCAGTACAAATTTGGCACGAGAAAATTTCACTTGTGGAGGAGAGCCATCCGCCAACCCAAGCGACAACACTCCCCACTTCTCCTAGCACCCACACAGTACGTACATATATAGAGAGGATAGTTAGGCCTTGGATGGTTGGGGTATAGAGGTTGGCCCATACCCTATGCCCATGCGCCAACCACATTTATAAAACTGCAACAGCTGCAGTTATTTTTCAGCTTGTTTTGTTTGTTTTGCCCTACGATGCCACTGCAATTTTTCTTTTGTGTTCACTCTAGCCCCCGATTGTTCACTCGCCTTCTGCCTATTTCTGTTAACATATTGGGTTGTGCATAGAACTCGAACCATAAAAAGGAAGAATGAAAGATCGAATCCATGTAAAATATATTGAAATGCCATAAAGGAGAACATGAATGCCCATTCGAGGTGGCAGATGAAAAATGTTGGTTATTGGTTCAGTGAAGCGAAGTAAAATGGTTACACTAGGATTGTCCTCTGGGACTATTTCTGTTCAGTTAAAGAATCCCCTTAATCCATAATGTGCATTTGACAAAAACTATATAAGAGCCTAGTATAATTATATTTTTCAATGAAAATTCTTCCGTGAGTACATTTGGCTCAGACTGAACCCGAATGAATTCAGAATGTATTGGAATCATGCGATAAAAAGCACATAGCTCAGGAATAGTTCTTTAAAGTAAGTTCCAAGATAATACTCAAGGTTACAGTTTAAAAAAATTTGAGTAATTTGCTACCACATAAGAAAAGACAAAAAGTTTGAACAGAACTGGTCCCAGTTCCGCCACATAAAAGACAAATCTCTCAGTTGACTTTGTCTATTTCTTGCCTTGTCCGAGCATCCAGCTGCCCCGAGCACACTCCTGCAGGTACAGCAGGGATGGAATGCATTTCAAGACGAAAAGATAGTGATGACGGAAGGCAGCAGATGGCATTGTTTCTTGTTACTAGTAATTTGGCCTACCTGTTCAGCCTTTGCCTTGCCGGAGCCTTTTCCGAAGTAAAATATTTTAACCTAACTCTGCCGCCAGAGGCAAACGAGAAACGAAACAAAAATGGTATAAATTTTATACTATAAAACACACGAATTCCTCAACAATTCGTGCGTTGTTGCGTCATCGCACATGGAAAAGTATTAATATTCCTACACATATACATACATATGTATACATACGTATGTATGTATGGGAACAATAAAACAAAGCATAGTCTCTGAGTCCGAGTCTGGTTTTCTGGTTAGTCATTTGCCGGTCTCTGGACAGAACTAGTTTTAGTCTCAATTTATATATGATTTCTAGGCTCTTGAGGGTCTGACTACAGAAATATTTTATAATTTTATTTATGTCTGAATGCTTTCATTTATTGTATAGAATTCGTGCTGTCCGCTTTTGAATGATTTAATTAAATTTCAGTTTTATCGTCATAATTAAATTTGCCACAATTTTCCCCACACAGCATATCTTTGCACTGTGGGTGTGTAATATTCTAGTGTTTGAGTGTGTGTATATTGAGTGTGTATATGTGTTTGAGTGTATGTGGGTGTGATGGTGGCGCGGGGAAGTGGAGGTATGATAAAGATATTGCAAAAATATATATATCACAAGATAAATATATAGCCGGCAAGTTCTAAGTGGCTCGTATAGTCGCTGTTCATAGACGGCTTCTCTGACTTCTCATGCGTGAATGCCATTTTATTTGCACTGTTTCGGCGGGGGCCGTGAGAATAAAACCGATTCTGGGCTTACGGTTGTGTTCTCTCCCAAATGATTATTTACTATATTATTTATAGTTGGCAAATAGATTCTCAGATAAGCAAAGAGGAAAAATATTTCGACACTACAAAAAAATTACGAGAATGAACGTGTGAGTCGCTTCTGTGGACGCGACTCTTCTTTTATACCCGTAATCAGTCAGTATGTACATATTTTAGCTTATGATTTATGTAGAATTTTAAAAAATTTAACTTTTTACATTTGTTTTGCTACATCTGTTATCTACATCTACATTATACATCTACAATGTAGATTCTACATCTAAAATGTAGATTCTATATCCTCTCCGCAAAGGTCGCGCATTGCACAGGGCAGAGTGCGTGCGAGCGAGAAAGAGCGAGAAAGAGACGGACGTCCTGGAGGAGGTGGGGGAAGCCACTGAAAATGAATTTATTTTTTCTGGCTATAATATTGATCCGATGGGTACCAGATTCGGCAATCTGATAGACATTTTTATTTTCTATGATAATGCGCTTTTATTTTTTTAGTTTCTTCAAAATTGTGGCTGCCACAGATTTTCGTCTATTGTTGGGTGAGTCACATGAGTCAGGAAACAAAATTCGGGACGGACGGACAGACAGACAGACATGGCTATATAGACTCGGCTATTGAGGCTGATCAAGAATATATAAACCTTAAGGGGTCGGAATCGTTTCCTTCCCTGCGTTGCACACATCCACTTTTACCACAAATCTAATATACCCCTTAACTCTTTTTGAGTACGGGTATAACAATCGTTCTTGTCAAGTTTTTGCGCTTTTTAAAATGAAGAAAAGTATAGAAAATATTTGGAAT